CCGGCCCCCCCAGGTACGGCCCGGCCCCCCCAGGTACGGCCCGGCCCCCCCAGGTACGGCCCGGCCCGGGGGAGGCACAGAGCTGTGGTAAAACGCCTTGGGACGGGAAAGGCGAGGTTCGCGTTGTCATGGTAACCCCCCAAAAAAGCCAGTTTGCGGGTTGTTCCGTCGCCGGGGGGGGCATCGGTGCGAGCCCCCCCCTCAGACACACGAGGGCACCTTCTTGCTTCCTAGGGAGAAACTGTGCTGGTTTTGGTGACCAACTTCATTGCCACCGCAGAGCAAGCCCAGGGCAACTGTCCCGAGGTGAGTCCCTCCCGGTGCTCGGTTGGTGACCCCCATCGGTGCCTCTGGGCCAGTACCCAGCATCCCCCGGCGGGGCCCGGCAGATGGGAAAATGCATAAAATGCATTTTCAGTCCCAGCACAACTGACTCCCCTCATCCCCGTTGCTCTGTGGGTCTCGATGCCTGACCTGTGCTTGCTCCATCCCACCTGCCCAAGCCGAGATGTCTGTCCGGGCAGACCGGCCAGGAGCTTGTGGTGACCAGAAGGAGGAGGGAGGGACACTGTCTGTTGGGTCCTCGCCAGCTCTCTGGGCTTCTGGAGGGCTGGGAACACTGTGATCTTTGCAGGCTTTCTCCTGCCTTTGGACAAGGGAGCTGCTGAGCTGCGTTGCCCCAGTGCAGTACTGCTGTCCCCAGCTCATACCCATGACCTGCGTTCCTTCTCGAGTCTCACGTGTATTCCTCATTTCTTGACTTGTTGCTCCATCCGCTTACCTCTGCTGTGCCATTTTCTGTGATGCTTTTACACCCACTCCATGGATACCTGTGCCATGTTTCCTTTATAACTCTCTGCTGCAAGACTAGTATCCTCTCCACCTTGGTGTCCTATTTTTAGGAGGAACAGAGCTTGAGTTCTGGGTGGTTTCACAGTCAGCCAACACTTAGTGGTGTATATTCTCTGGGAGAAATCTTCCCTTTAAGGCTGGATTCAGGCCAGCTCCTCGATCGAACTCTCCCAGGCTGGACCAGGCTTGGCAGACAGGAGCAAGTGTCTTTTAAGCAAAGTCACTGCTGGCACCTTGTGCCTGAGCCAAGCACTGTTTGTCCCTTTGGATTTTGCCTGCACTGCCATGTCCAGCCTGATCCTGCTTCCACCACTCACCCGGTGCCAGCTCTGCCGGGCTGGGCTGCTCCCCAAACACAGGATGCTCAAGAGGAGGAGAGACCCTGGGTTTGGACTGGGGAGAATGGCACTAATGATCCCTCTGGAAAGTGTTGAGAGCTCCTGAAGTACTGGTGGCTGCAGGGGACGTCCCCAGGGGCAGATGTGTGCCATGGTGTATTTCAGGGCTCTCTCCCAGGCAGCCATGGGCGTCTCTGGATGCTTGTATTTGCCATGTGCAGGGCGAGGGTACGGAGGGAGCGGAGCATCCCGTCCCGTGACAGTGCTGTGGGGTGACTGGGTGCTTGCTACAGCCTTCACCCCATGCTGCTTCTCAGTTCCTGGCTGTGGGACTGTAGCTGACATTCATGTTTGGAAAGCTTTGAAGAGTTAGCAGTGACAGCTTTTGACTTAGCAGGAAGTTCTGAATATTCTCAATTACCCAAGTATTCCGTGCTGGCAGAGCAGGGGAAGGTCTGGCTGGGGCCAGAGGCAGCACCCCAACACAGGACGGGCTGTTGGAGCAGTTGATGTCTGTGTTGAGCTCAGGCCTGTGGCTGAGCTGTCACTTGTCTCCTAGAGATTCCTTTCAGTGTTGGTCTCAAAAACTTTGAATGGCTGGAAACCCTCTGCCTCTGTTTGCAAGAAGCTCTGAAGGTAATGAAGGTGATCAAAATATAATTAGAGCCAGGAGGTGTCAGTCAGACAGTGCATCTGCTCTGTCCGGGTACAAACTCTGGGTCTAAGGGGCCATTTCACTTAAATTGTGGTGTTCAGCATATCCAGCTGTGCTCAGCTCCTACAGGTCCAGGTGCTGCTGATGGATGTGCACACGAGCAGCACTGGTCCCAGCCCCGAGGAGCACAGGACTGTCCAAAGGGGATGAGAGAGGTGTTAGATGTTGGGAGAAGCCTCATCCTTCTTTGCTCATGTGTGATCCTGCTGGTGGTTTGCTCTCCAAGAAGGTCCACTTTGCTTCCCAGCCCCCGCTACGCAGTTGCACAGCTCTGGAGGGCTGGCAATCATGGTTGTTTCTGATTAGATTAAGCATAAAGTCATTCTCTACCCACATACTTGTGACTACAGAAAGTAAATATAAACCTTTCAGCCCTCAGGTTCCAAGAGTTTATGCACAGATTTCTCCCTTTCCATACAAGCCCATCTTTGCTGAATTTAATTTCTGTCTGAAATCACCCCTGTCCCAGGGACACAAATGCTGTGAACTCTGAGCACCATCCAAGCCCTGCTGTGAGCACCATGTCTTCAGAAAACGGGCACTCCTTCCCCTGCTTGTCAGGACACCAGTACTGAATTCCTGTCCTGTCCCAAACCTGCAGTTCTTGGGTAGGTTCCTAGAAAAATTTGTTACTTCTGATTTTCCCAAGCTTTTAGGCCCTTACACAACCAAAACCAAGATGCAGCGATGGTTTAGAGACCTTTAGGAGCACAGATCCAGGGCACCATGAGGGCTTTTAATGGAGTCTCCATCTCTCTGCTCCTCTCACGATGCGCTTGTGGCACATGTAACCTGGTTTGGATCATCCCTGTGGAAAGTGCCAGCACCCACAGATAGTTTTTTCAAGGCTCATTTCCACTAAAAGATGGAAAGAGGCTGAAACCTTCTGGGATGGTTTTTAGGTTTTCTGTAACAGCATCGCAGACTTCAGTGCCTGAATTTCTCCTGAGCTTTGCAGCTTGCATGCCCTGAACACTCAGAAGTGTCTGTCTGCCAAGTAGCACTGGCCATGTGTCTTGTTACCTGGACCTGGGAAGGGACTGACACACTTGTCTGCCAATATCTGTTCTCTGGGTCCTTCTGGAGGCTGAATCCGTGACATCTGATTTGAATGCAGGATGACAAGGTGCTCTCACAAGTGCTTGTTACAGCACTGCAGGTGGGTCCTGCAAGCTATGACTGGGCCATCAGTGGGGATGAGGAGCATGAATCCAGTAGCCATCCCTCCCCAGCAGTCAGACAGGACTCCCCAGTCTGTCCAGTACTCCTGCAGGCTTGCCCTTAGACACCCGCTCTCCTTACTCCCAGGCCCCTTCACCTCCTCATCCAGCCCGACGTTGGCTGTGAATCACTCCTCCATGGGCACACCTGCGCTGACTGGAGCTGGTGGCACCCACAGGCATGGGAGTCCTGCCACTGGTTTGGTCCCACTCCGGCTTCTGGCATTTAGGCACCCATATGCACATACAGGATAGAGCCAATCATCCAGGAAAATGGTTAGAAATGGAGTTTACTCCAAGGAAGGGTCAGGCTGTGCTGGTGGTCAGGGCAGCTCTTTACATGCAACCAGGCCTTTGCATCCTTTTATGCCTCTATTTTCCAATGATTTTTCCTTCTCAGCTCACCTAGATCCCTCCCTTTCCATGGCTTTCCTTCTTCCCCTAAACATCTCATGTCCTAAATGTCCTGTGCAATCCTAAAATGCTCTCCTGCATCCCATAATGATTCCCATACCACTGGGCACTGCGTTTGTGTCCCCCCAGCCCAAAGGTGCTTCAGGCAGTGGTTCCTCTCGGCTAATTGTGGTGGGTTTCACACCTGGAACAAGGGGCTGCGCCTGTCATGGAACAGCTCGGGGCGGGGGGGGGGCCTGGCAGACCCCAACTTCTTCTGACTCCATAACTGGGGTTTCCCACCTGCCTTTGGGCCTCCATGTCCCTCTGGGGTTTCTGATGGGCTGGTGACTCCTGCAATGGCCTGGGAGTACCCGGGAAAGGTGTTGCTCACATTCCCCCACCTGCCATAGTCTCTGAAGAGGAGCTTTTTGCTGCTCCTGGTAATGGTGGGTCCAGAGTGAAGGTGAAGCTTTCGACAAGACTCTTGTTATGCCGTATTTAGGGTCTCTCCAGTCCTTTCCCAGGGAAATTGTGGTGGTGATTTACAAAGTGCTAAATGGGCTCTGCCGTTAAGGCCCTCCCGAACCCAGCTGGTTCCCAGCCCAAAGGTCCCAGCTATCTCCTGAGGCTTCCTCTGCTGCCGAGGCAGAGGAGGTGAGCACCCCGGGAGTGTGAGGACAGGGGGAGAAGGATTGTCCCTGCAGATGCCTCTCTTCTCGCTGCCTGGAGGCTGCCCAGGTTCTGGAGATGGTGATGGCTTCTGGAGGTGCTGGGAGAGGCAGGAGCCGCGGTGCAGGAGTGTGGATGAGCAACTGCCTGGGGTGACAGTGCTTCTCTGCGTCTCTCTCAGAGCCCCTCTGTTCTGGACGCAATGTGCACAGAAGATGCAGACTGTCCCATGGGAAATCCAGTGCTTCATGGCCATGGTACGTGGTGTTTCGCTAAAGAAAACCCATAAAATCATTTAATTCCTCCTGTTTGGTAGCAAACAGATCCACAAAGCCGCCCAATTGCCTGAGTTCAGTGCTTTTTGAAGGGCTCTCCAGCCATTTATTCTTGGAAAAAGCTTAGAGCAACATGTCACAGCTGGATGGGCAGGTGCTGCGGGGACAAGTCACTGTCACAGCAAATCCAGGGGTGCTTTGTTCCTGATGTTGGCAGCTGGAATGGAAACCAGTGTGCCATGTGATTGGCAGGGTTTCCTTTTGTAATAAAACCTGGCTTTTTATCTCATGGTGATGAATATGCACAGCCCCTCCTGAGTGCAGCTGGAAAAGGATATTATTTCAGCTCGAAGAGGTCGGTTGCCAAAGCTTTGTGCGTGGGATTGTCCCAGCTCATTGTGTTCCCACCCTGGGAGGGGGTGGCTTCGGCAGCTGACAGTGGCGAGCGGCTGCTTGTCTTTGTAAAAAGGCTCCTGTCCTTTGGCCTCCAGGGGGGTTTCACAGGGAAGTTGTGGGGTGAGGAAAGCACGGAAGATGGTCCCAGAATCATCTCTGTGGCTCAGGTTTTGAAAAGACCAGAACAAACCAGTGGCCACAGCACTGTCCCAGCAGGGGAGCTGCAGAGGAGGTACTTTGAAAAGGAATAGTAAATGACATACCTTGTTTCATTTCTAGGGATAAAAACGGGGAAATGCGTGATGTTCAATACTACCCACTCCACCTGTGAGATCTACGGCTGGTGTCCTGTGGAGAACAACACGCTGCCCAGGTGAGGCACAGGGGGAGGGGAGAGCAGGCTTTGACAGTTGAGAGCTTTGGTTCCTTCCCTCTGTGCTCTGTGTCACCAGGGGCCTGGTCATGTTTGCCCGAGGGGCAGCCAGGCTCAGGGAGGTCTTTGACATTGGTCTAACAGTCAGATAAGCCCAGAGAACTTAATGCAAGAGCATTTATTGCAACTCTCCATTGTAGTCGAAGTCCCAGGGTCGTGGAAGGGACTGCAGAGTGAGGGGAATGGGGATATGTCTTGGCTGCTGTGCAAAATTTAAGCTCGTTGGTGGTTGTTTTCCAGGGAACCTCTTCTGTCTGAGGCGAAGAATTCCACTCTTTTTATAAAAAATACTGTCCACTTCACCAAATTTAACTTTTCCAAGTAAGTATGATGCTCCTCTGGCTGGACCAAGCCTGCAGCCGGGTCCAGCCTGTGTCTGCCGAGGGGGTGGGCAGCCAGGGTGGCCGAGAAGCCATGAGCCATCCCGGACGGGTTGGCTCGGGCTGTTGCAGTTTGGGGTAGTGTTTTCAGGAGAAGGCCAGTTTGCAGGTGTAACAGCAGTGGGATGGGGAGCCCTCGGAGGGAGAGACTGCTGTTCGTCTGCCTGTCTAGAGCTCCACAGACAGAACAGGCCAGTCATTCCCAAGGACTCATTTTACCCCATATGTTTTTGCATTTTAATCCCTGCAAAATGGTTTCAGAGGCACAGTGCAGGGCTGTGCCGGCCTCGCAGCCCCAGGCATGCTGACTGCGCTGCCTGACTCCAGCAGAGACATCTCAGGCTGGTTGTTACATCTCAGAATCACATGGGGTTGGAAAGGGCCTCTGGAGACCATCCAGTCCAACCCCCCCTGCCAAAGCAGGTCACCCCAGAGCAGGTTGCACAGGAATGTGTCCAGGCAGGGTTTGAATGTCTCCAGAGAAGGAGACTCCACCACCTCTCTGGGCAGCCTCTTCCAGGGCTCTGCCACCCTCAAGTAAAGAAGTTCCTCCTCATGTTTAGGTGGAACTTCTTACATTCAAGTTTGTGCCCATTTCCTCTTGTTCTGTCACTGGGCACCACTGAAAAGAGACTGGCCCCACCCTCCTGACACCCTCCCTTGAAGTATTTGTAGGGTTGATCAGATCCCCCCTCAGTCTTCTTTTCTCCAGACTAAAAAGACCCAAGTCCCTCAGCCTCTCCTCCTAAGAGAGATGCTCCAGGCCCCCCATCATCTTTGTAGTCCTCTGCTGCACCCTCTCAGCAGTTCCCTGTCCTTCTGGAACTGGGGAGCCCAGAACTGGACCCAGTGATCCAGATGGGGGCTCCCCAGGGCAGAGGGGGAGGATGACCTTCCTCCACCTACTGGCCACACTGTTATTGATGCCCCCCAGGATGCCATTGGCCTTCTTGGCCACAAGGGCACATTTCTGGCTCATGGTCATCCTGTTGTCCACCAGGTCTCCCAGGTCTTTCTCCTCAGAGCTGTTCTCCAGCAGGCCAGCCCCCAGCCAGTACAGGTGCTGGAGACCACCTCTGAGGAGAGTGGTGGGAGCTGGGTGGAAGCCAGGGGAAAAAGTAGAAGCACAAAGGCAGAGGTGAAGGCAAGGAGCTGGGAGGGGAAGGACCGTGGCAGGTGCTGTAAAGGATGGTAACTCCATGTGTTGACACCTCTGGGCTGGTTTTTCTCCACCCTCTCTCCAACTGAGGCTTTAGGAGCAGTAATGTGCATCTCTTCCCAGAGCAGGAGCATTAGTGGTCCCACAGCAGCAGCAGAGTCTCCTTGTCAGGGCTCCCCACCCCTGACAGCTCTACCTCTCTCCCTCTCCTCTCAGGTGCAATACTTTGCAAACCAATGACCCCACCTATTTCAAGAGCTGCACGTACGATCCATTCTTCAACCCCTTCTGCCCTGTCTTCCGTGTCCGTGACATGGTGGAGGCAGCTGGAGAGACCTTTGGAGACCTCGCTCTGCAAGTATGGAGGATGACTCCAAATTCCCCAGGGATGTGGGCAAGGGGCAGGGGATAGGACTGACCCCTGAAATACTAGGGGAATGTGTGGTCTGAACAGGAAAGAACTCAGCAAATCTCTGATCCCATGCTTCTCCTGGGATAAGATACATTTTTCAGGGGGGGTGCATCGGAGTTCGCATCGAGTGGGACTGCAACCTGGACCACCCCGCTGCCGAGTGCCGGCCACGGTACTCCTTCAGCCTGCAGGACAGGGGGTACAATTTCAGGTGAGGATGCTGGGACAGTGGCCACCCGGGCCTGTGTGTTGAGCATACGGCAATTGTTCGAGGTCTCCATGTTCCTGAGTGATGCTCTGGAGGAGCAGCAGGGACATCGGGATGTAGCTCAGCTCAGAGGCTGTCAATACCAGGGTGCCATGGTGGCTCCCACACCTTATAGCTTTCTGTGTTGGAACTGCAAGGCCTGAGGGCAGGGACGTGGGGCTGTTGATGCCTGTGCTGACCCTGAACTGGGCGCACTGGGAGCTGCGTGCTCCCAGGGACCTCAGCTGGGTGCCAAATGGAGACTGATGCCCCGCTGCTGATGAGTCGTGGCAGCACATGCATCGCCCACCTCCCAGCCCGCTGGAGGACACAAGGTGTGCAGAGGCACATGGTGGCCCTAGCAGTCGCCCGGCACTGGCTGCCCTCTTCCTCGCTGCCTGCGGGAGCTGCCATGGCTTTCTGAGCCACATCCGATGTCCCCCACAGAACTGCCTCCTACTTCTGGGACTCCCAGCGGCGGCTCTACCGGAACCTGCTGAAGCTCTATGGCATCCGCTTCGACATCTCTGTGCACGGCCAGGTACCGTCTCCTCTGCAGACCCCCATGTGCAGTCCTGGCAGCCTTGTCACTGGGGCTGACACCTTGCTCCACTCCCTGCTGCTCCATGGCTTCCCACTAGCCTCGCTTCTCCCCACCCTGGTGAGCTCTTCACCTCTTTCCAGAGTTTTCCAAGCAGAGCAGGGAAAAATAGTCTCTTCCATTTGAAGAGAAACTTGTAATGCCCTGAGCAGAGCAGGTTCCCTCGCTGGGGATCTGGTGTGGGTGTTGTGAAGTGCTGGACCCTGTAGGCAAGGTGAGCTTGTCTGGGCAGAGGGCCTCTGGGCATCTCTGTGGGTCTCGTGGTGGGAGCACCCTGCCAAAGACCAACCTGAACTCTTTTGAACCTGGACAATTAATCCCTTCTTGATTAATTGTACCCTTGGGGAGAAAAGGCATGGACATGGCTGATGCTACATTGCTGTGCGGCATCACTGACAAACTCAATACTCAACCATGCAAGATAGAGCCTGTGCTGAGGGGACTTGTCACCCCGAGAGATGTCCACAGCTGGTCTGTCATGCTTAGCAGTGGCCGTTTCCCCTGAAGAGGGCAAAGCATGTGGTGCTAGGACAGGGTGCCTTCTGGGCAGTGAGATCAGGTCCAGGAGGTGAGGAGCAGGAGAGAATAGCCAGGAGAGAGACAGGAACCCAAAAGTCTCTTTCCTCAGAGACACCAGACTCATTTGAGCAGAGAGGGACATGTCATGTCAGGGCTGTGTAAGATGTTCGCTGGGATGTGGTTCTGCAGGTGGCAGCTGCTGACCCCTGCAGCAGGAAGGGAGCTCCTACCATCGGCAGGTCACAGTCACCTCTTTGACGGCCAAAGAGGTTTTGGTTCTGTAGCAGTCAGGTCCCAACAACTGGGCACAGAAAAACGGCCCGGGTTTCCTCCAGCACCTCCCTGCTTTAAGCACGGTGTGCACGGGGCTTGTCCCGCAGCCCTCACCGTCTTCCACCCACTGTTCCCCCTCCACACGCTTCCTCAACCAGGCTGGAAAGTTCAGCATCGTTCCTGCTGCCGTGAGCATCGGCACCAGCATCGCGTTCTTTGGTGCCGTGAGTACTCCAAATATGCTCTTTTTCTCCCATCTATGGGATTTGCCCCTCCTCTGTTGTTTTTCCTGCCAGCCTAGAAGGGGAGGTTTTCTGGTGGGGTGTTAGCTCCAGTTCTCCTGTTTGCCATCATTAGCAGTAATGACACTGCCAGCTCAAGGCTTCTGAGCGGGTGTTTGTGTTGGCCTTGGGAAGGTGCATTGCTGGGGCGTTGCTGGCTGCTCTGTCCCAGCTGCCTCCACCTGCAAGAGAGAGCGTGTTTCTGCCCTGACCCTGAAGAGAGCCAGCATCTGGCTCCAGCATGGGCCTTGTGTTGTGGCCATTGAGATAGGGCAGCCCCTTGCAGAGCGTTTCTGTGGCTCTTCCCTCTCAGCAGAGTAAGGGGGAGCCTGGGCCCCCCCCCGCCCCCTCGTTCCTCTCGACTGTGCTCGCCCCGGCCTGCGATGGCAGCTCTCTGCTGGAGCAGCCCTTCCCCTGCGTCCCAGATGATCCCCTCTAACCTCCTGTGCTGCTGATGGAAGCAGGTGGGGTCAGAGGGGACCTGGTGGAGCTGCCAGGGTGGCCTGGGCCAGAGGCAGGTCAGGGTCACTGTCCCCAGAGTGTGGCCAGCTGCAGGGCTGGGTGGGAGCCAGAGGGCCAGCACTCCTGCAGGAGGTGTCACTGCCATGCTGTGTCTGTCTGCAGGCCACGGTGGTCTGTGACCTGGTCCTGCTCTACCTGGATGCGAAGGCTGACTTCTATTGGAAGGAGAAGTTTGAGGAGGTAAGGATGGTGCCGCTTTGGAGAGAGTGAAGTTTTGGAAGCAGATTTAATGATTTTCTGCCCTTTGGTTAAAACTCAATTCACAAGATCTGGGAAAACCTCAGTGGAGCAGTTCTTAGTCTTTGCCTCTTGGGCTTGGTGGCTGGTTGGAGTGAAACCTCAGAGAGACTAAATTCTTACACCTTTAATGATGACAGGCTGCAGAGTGGGAAAGAGGGACCCAGCTGGTGTGGGGAACGCTGTACCCTGACCTCATCTACCGTCAGACGGCAAGGAGTCCTTGAGGGGACCCTACTGTAGAAACCTGACCCAGCTCCACAGTTATTCACCTTCCAAAGTGAATCTGGCCAAACTCCAGGTGGAGAGGGGGCAGGTCTCCAGCAAGCACCTCGGTGCCATGTCAGTGCTGACCCTGCAGTTCAGTGATGGGTTTTCTTGCTCTGTGTGACCCTCATGTCACTGCCCAGCCCTGGGGAGTCGGGGGTCGTGGGGTGTGGGCTGGGGGTTCCCGCAGAGCAGGAGAGCTGCCGGCCCTGGCACGGGTCAGCTTTGGCTTTAGCTGGCCAGTTCTTGGAAACCCCAGCTCCCCTTGGACTGCCCTGAGGCTGCACCATCCTACCAGGGGGAAAAAATGTTGTTCCTGATGATTGATCTGCAATCACAAGTGGACTTGGGGTCTCAAACAAGGATCTGGCGGTATGGGACTGAGCAGAGCGGGGCAGGACCTCCCACCTGGGATGTCCCCTTGTTTCTTGTACACTAAGATGCCTCTGTTCATTTTCCAGGCAAAACCCCCTAAAGGTAAGGCCGAGCCCAAAGCTTAGGGACATCGGGAATGCTCCACCACTAGCGCCCTTCGCTCCGGAGTGACCTGCAGGTAGCTGCAATGGGGGCACGGCTGCAGCCCAGATGGAGGTGGCCCAGTTCTCCTGGCCTCAGTGTGTGCTGCTGGAGTTAGGGTCTGCCTTTGCTGGAGAAACATCAGCAGAAGTTCTTGGCTCCTGGAGCTCGAAGCCATCCGCAGGGCAGCTCCCAGCGCTGGTGGTGCCCCAGCAGAGCCGGGCTGAGGAGCTGCTGCGGCAGCCAGAGCCCGACGGGAAGCGCTGGCCCATGCTTGGCACAAGAGGCTTAAAGCACTTTGCGCTTCATCTTCCAGATGGCCCTGGGCCTTGATTTCCCACGAAAAACAGGGATGCAAGGAAATAAAGCTGTTCAGAAAGCAGGAGGGGGCTCTGCTCTGTCTCTAGCCCTGGGGGGGCTGCAAAGGCTTTGGGGCGCCGCTCTCACACCTCACAGTGCCCTGCGTGCTTCCAGCTGGGATGGCTTCACCCCAGCCTCCCTTGTCCATGGGGAGCTCCCCAGGGAACCCCTTTTGCCTGTGCTCAGGGAGGGTTTAAGAGCAGACCCCCCTGGGCTTGCTGGGGGGGGGTCCAGTAGCTCCTGCGCTCCCCAGTTCCTACCTCCTGCCAGGGCTGATGCTCAGCGAGGACAAGTGCAGCCCTGGGCTGAGCCTGAGCATTTTGGGGGTGCTGAGCCCTGTGTTATTGCCTGCAGGAGAGTGTGCGGCAGGGACTGCCTCCATCAGTACCCGTGGGGTGCTCTGGCAACCCCGCAAGCCCCTGAGCTGCCTGGCTCAAAAACACAGTGTGTGGAGGCAGGTGGGGGTCCAAGCACCGTTTAATGCTCCCTGCTGGGACTGCATGGGATTGGAGGGGTCCTGCAGCATCACTCCTCCTTGGCTGCCTGACTCCCCCCACCCCCCTGCCCTGGCCATCCCCTGCCACCCTCCTTGAGCTGCTGCAGGTGGAACTGTGCCACCAGCTGCTTGGTCATGGTCTTCAGCGCAAGGAAGGCTGCCACCATCTCGGCGAGGAGGAAGGCCAGGAGAAGGCTGTGCACGACCATCTCCAGCGGCAGGCGGATGAAGTGGCTGTCCGTCAGCAGGAAGAGCAGGAGAGGGAGCTGGATCAGGAAGGAGAGGAGGAGAAACCCAGCCAGCTCGGGCACCTGTGGGAGCAGAAGCCATGGGTGGGGTGGGGGAACCCACTGTGCCCCAGGAGCTCCCTGCATTGGCCACTCTGCTGGCCTCAGCACCCGGGTACCGGGGACATCCCTGCCACACAGAGCTGTGCCTGGGTATGGTCAGATGCGGTCAAGCCCAGTTCTGGGGCATCACACCCATAGCACGGGGAGAGAAACAGTGGGAGAACAAGTCGGTCTGCTTTATCCCCTGCCTCCTGGTCCTGCCTGTACCCACAGTTTCCTCCCAGGACAGCTGCAGGCGGGACTCCAGGAGGAATGGGCAGTGATGGGCACTCAGGTCTTGAGCAAGGCGACAGCCAGCATAGTTACAGCATCCCCCAGCAGGGCCATCCCTCACTTGGGACCAGGGCAAAGAGGGGGCGCTTACCTTCTCCTGCAGGTTCCCCACGTAGCCCAAGTAGAGGCGGGAGCCCTCAACCAGTGAGAGGATGAGGAAGGCAGCGACCAGCAGGAACTGGTAGTGCTGAGGCAGCAGCTGGTACTGTAATGGGAGCACAGCCTCGTCCCAGCCAGCCCCATCCCCTGAGCACCGTGCCGAGTTCTCTGTGCCCAGCTTCCCACCCCTGTGCCCACCTACCTGTCTGCCCCATGCCCAGCTCCCCGTGTTCTGTGGCCCGTGCCTAGCTCCCTGCGACCAGCCCTGCCCGCTCCACCCTCCCAGTTTAACCTTCCATGCCTGGAAAGCCCAGTGGTTGTTCTCACAATTTCCATTTCGAGGAGCCAGAGGTGAGCCAGCTTGTCTTGTGGGGGACAGGGCATTTTGCTTGTGTGTGTGTGAACCCATAAATCTGGAAGAGGCTCCCCTCTCCCCTGCCCACCCGTACCCCGGGAGGTCAGTCAGGAGCAGGGTCACCCCATCACCATGTGCCCCATGGGACAGTACCTTCAGCTGCAGCATCATCCCCTCGGCCAGGAACCAGACCGGGAAGTAGTAGACGTTGAAGTAGAGCATCATCTGGAGGGGCAGGCTGGCCAGCACCTCGTGGGCTAGGCAGGGGTGGGCAGGGCAGGCAGTGGTGGGCAGGGATGCCCAGAGGAGCCCTCTGCCTCACAGCCTGGGGAGGGAGGGTGATGGCCCCCGCCATGCCTGGGGGGACGACTGGGTAGCAGGAATGGCGGTTCGCAGCAAATGCACTTGGTTTTGCTCCCCCTCATCAGTGGGTGGGTGCAGGGACCCTTCGGGTGCTCCCAGCTCAGAGGCACCCGGCTGCTTTAGTGATGTGCTGAGGAGTGGGCTTGTGGTGATGAAGCAACAGCCAAACCCCCCCAGACCGAGCGCTGCTGCCTGTACCTGGGTGGTAGGAGTGGGCAGCGCCGCTGTCCCGCGTCTTGTTGTTGATGAAGAGGGACCCGCTGAAGGCCACCAAGCCCCGTCGGAGGTTGGGGGGCAGAGGGGTGTGCGCAGCCATGTCTGGCAGCCGAGCCCCACTTGCCCCAGCCCGGCTCAGCCGGGATTAGCCAGAAGGTAATTAGTGGCATGACATGTCAGGCTAATACGCAGGACCACATGGCCATTGGCTCCCTAGGGACAGGGCTGCTGAGCTGGGAGGAGGACAGGGAATGAAAATTCCCTCCTAGGACACCAAGCCCATGTGGGAGCCACAAGGACACAGAGCGTCTCCTACCACGGCAGCTTGCAGGGATGAGCAGCAGGTTGTACCCATCACCATGATGGGGACGCGGTGGTGTCCCCAGCCTGTGCATCCTATGGGCAATGCCCTCCTTCTCTACACCCTCTCCCAGCTGGGTTGTATCAGCGTAATTATTGCTCAAAACTCCCTGACAGATGAGGATGCCCAGGGAGGGGATGGTGCTCTGCCAGAAATACTTCTTCAAAGCCTCCAGGCTCATGGAGCGTTTTACCCATCATCTTCAGCTTCCCTTCTAACAGGTAGGGAAGTCTACACGCTCAGCATCCCAAGCTCCATCCAGGCTTGAGGGTTCTGGGAAGGGCAGTGGGGGATGGTGTGTGAAAGGGTGGTTGAGCCAGAAGTGAATGGCAGAGAAAGGGCATGGTGCTTTGTGGCCTTCATGGTCAGTCCTACCCAACAGGCACGGTCTCATCTCATGAACTTCAGCCTCTGACCTATCCCAGAAGGTGCATCAGAGAAGCTGCTGCAAATATTTGGAAAGCATATTGTAGATTTGGTCCTTAAGGGCCCGGTGCTGGCAAGGGACAGGAGAAACTAAATAAAGAGAGGATTATTCTGCTTTATATGGCCAAATGAAGCTGCAGAGCTCATTGCTGTATGCTGGCAAAAAAACTCCATTGGGGCTGGAAGCGTGGTTAGACCACTGCATGACTGGCTGAAGCATCAAGGGCTTCCATGCACAAGGACCCAGTCTCTCAAGGCAGGTCCATGCTGTGAGCACAGCTCAGGGTGCATGTTTCCAGCTCTTCTGAGCATCATTGACACCACAGTGTGGCCCCATGGCCCAGCTCAGGTCAGCTGCTCCCCGGTCCTTACATTACTTGTTAAAAAAAAAAAAAAAAAAAAAAAAACAACTATGCAAAGTGGATTTCACAGAAAAATCTAACCAACTGTGGAAAAAATATGCCCTGCTATAAGCGTTGCCCTCTTATTAGAGAAGGACCCTGAGCGGAACAGAAGGGTCCTTCTGGTCATGACTGGACAAGACATCAAAGATGGCATTGGTGAGAAGACAGTCTCCACTGCATCAGGAAAGTTGTTTAACCACAGCCTGTAACACCTAACACCTCCCAGCCTCAGAAGTGGCACTGGGAAGACTTGTCTGGAGATGGTTGGCCACCACCATTCAACCTGGATCAGCTCTAGCTGAGCCAAGGTCAGCCAGCCCATGGGACAGGGGGACAAGCGTGTCAGTGTGGGAAAGGAAGAAAGTGAAACTACTTGTTTTACCACAATCTCCTTGGGGACTGTAAAAAGAAGCAAAGCGAGAAGTAAATGCCAGTAAACAAAGAGACAACATTCACTCAAGCAATGGGCAAGGTGCAAAAGCGAGGGTGGGGATGGATGGACAAAGGGTGAGGCCATACTTAGTGTCTGGGAAACCACCTTGTGAGGAGCGGTGATATTTTTTTAAATGAAGGCTTAGGGCATGAGGCAACTAAAAATAAACCTGTCTCCTGGTGCAATGCTGCAACATGATGTCCAGGGGGTTCTCATGTGTGCAGGAAGCGAAGATGTGCTGTGCCCAACACGTGAGTCCCTGGGTCCAAACATGGGACAAGATGTGAGCAAGGTGACAGGCAAAGCCCAGCATTTCAGGAGAAGGAGCTGGTGGAGAGCTTGGGGTCTGGGGGCATCACATGTGCATGGGGAACCCAGGTGAGCAACCTAGGAGATACCCGGGCAATCTGGTGAAGGTAAATGCAATGGGGCAATGCAGCCGGGGATCACGAACAAGCTGCATGTGCCCCAGCTGGGTTCAGCTAATGGTGCTCATTCCTGATGGGAACAGGCAGTTTCTTAAGAAGAGCTGGAAACTTTCTGTCCTGGCATGGGAGATTGCAAGATGCACCTGGAGAGGTGGCAGAGGAGACATCTCAGCCTTGCGCAGCTCCAGGCCACGCTCACCACTAGTAAGCATTTGCGAAGATGCTGGATGAAGTGTCCTGGGTCCAACACCATCCCACACCGGTGCAGCAGAGCAATGTCTGCGGGTGGGTGTCATGATGCCAAGCTATGCCAGCAGCCCAGCCCATGACCCAGCACGTGTCCTGAGGAACATCATGTGGTGACTGGCATTTCTCATGTCACAGGGTGATGTTCCCAGCCCCAGATGAAACAGCTCCTCTGTGAGAAGGGAGATGGGACTTGTTGCCCACACCGCAGCCATAAGCTTGGGCAGAAGGTCCTTCCTCAGCCTGTGCTTGGTCTTCAGTTCCATGAACATGGGGCTGATGCCTGCTGTGCACAGCTCATGCCCAGCACTGGATGAGGCCCCAGCAGAGGCAAAGGACTCAATGGGCATTTTCCTGAAAAAGGAAGCGCCCTGCCAATCTGCCCAGGACTCCAGAGGATGCCAAGAATTCAGCTGAGCAGGAAGACGGAGTCCTTGCAAAAGCTCAGCCAAGCTGTGCTGTGGGAGCACATGGGGCACCAGAGCTACCAGTCTACTCATAGAATCATAGAATCGTCTAGGTTGGAAGAGACCCTTGGGATCATCGAGTCCAACCATCTACCCTGCTCTACAAAGTTCTCCCCTACACCATATCCCCCAACACCACGTCTAAGTGACTCTTTAAACACATCCAGGGATTGGAACACTCAACCACCTCCCTGGGCAGCCTATTCCAATGCCCGGCCACTCTTTCTGTGAAAAATTCTTCCCTAATGTTCAGTCTAAACCTACCCTGTTGGAGCTTGAAGCCATTCCCTCTCGTTCTGTCACTAATTACCTGCGAGAAGAGACCAGCACCAACCTCTCTACAGTGTCCTTTCAAGTAGTTGTAAAGAGTGATGAGGTCTCCCCTCAGCCTCCTCTTCCTCATACTAAACAGTCCCAGCTCCTTCAACCGCTCTTCATAAGATTGATGCTCCAGGCCCTTCACCAGCTTCGTTGCCCTCCTCTGCACTTGCTCCAGCACCTCGATATCTCCCTTGTATTGAGGTGCCCAGAACTGGACACAATACTCCAGGTGTGGCCTCACCACGGCTGAGTACAGGGGGACAATCACCTCCCTACTTCTGCTGGTCACACTATTTCTAATACAAGCCGGGATGCCACTGGCTTTCTTGGCCACCTGGGCACGCTGCTGGCTCACATTCAGCCACTTGTCAATTAGAAGCCCCACGTGTTTTTCTGCCAGGCAGCTCCAGCCACACTTCCCCAAGCCTGTAACACTGCCCGGGGTTATTGTGGCCCAAGTGCAGGACCTGGCACTCGGCCTTGTTGAAGCTCATACCATTAATGTTGGCCCAATGATCCAATCTAAGTCTCTCTGTAGAGCTTCCCTATCCTCCTGGGAATCAACACTCCTGCTTAACTTGGTGTCATCCGTGAACTTGTTGATGATACACCCTATGTCCTTATCAAGATCGTCAATAAAGATGTTAAACAGAAATGGTCCCAACACTGAGCCCTGAGCCCTCCAGCACAGATGTGCCCGGGGAGAAATCACAGAGCTCTGGGGGGTGTCACCACATGGTACCCTGGTGTCCCCAGGCACCCCTAGCTAGGTCCCTGGGGAGCTGCCAAAGCAGAGTCTGACCATCCCACCAGTGAGACATGGGATGCAAAGCCACAGCTCCCTGGGGAGCCTGCACCAGCCGTGGCTGGGCCACAGGGAGCAGGGCAGCCCCAGCCACCTCTGCCCTCAGAGAAAGCCCTCACTGGGCATGGGGACATCAGCCTTAGCCTTTTGGGACCTAAGATGAGACTTGCAAGTTCACATCCCTTTGTGGATCCAGCAGATATGTTCAAGAAGAGGACTCTGTTCATCGCTGCATGCTGGAGCATGTTGCCTACCATCCCTTCTGGTCATGCTGCCTGGGAAAAACCTTGCAGTGAAACCAGAAGAGACCAACCAGAGAGGTGACAGATGAACTGGTGGTATTTCTACACGGCAAAGATCGTGAAGTCTGTAAATAAATGCAGGTGAGCTGTACACAAGTGGGAAGAGTGCTCAGAAGAGGTGCTTGCACCATCCAGCTGACCTGCAGAGGTGACCCAAAGCCTTGGAAGGAATCAAGATGATCCAGATCTCACAGATAGCAGTGCTTTAATTCATAGGGCGTGAATCAAATTAAAAATATAAATCCTCTTACTTTGGGCTCAGGGTAAAACACTGATTTGGGGGGAAGAAACCTCCCCTAGGGCAGAGTACTGGAGACTCTCCAAGGGGGGATTCTTGTCCACCAGTTCTGCTGGGCTGAAGGACACGGGGCTGTGGGCTGGCCAGGTCCACTCCTAAGCTAGAGATAAGGCTCTTCTTCCAGCGAGGAGCAGAAAACACAACAGCAGAGCACTGTCTCTGAGATGAGAACTGCAGCCTTACCACTAAGTGACAGGAGGAATGAGCCAGAAACACCCCTCTGGCTACTTCTCCTTGAGAAACATCTCAGCAGCAGCACTAATCCTGCAATAATCACTATGGAGAGAGATGTCTCAAGGCTGGCTGGAAGAATGGCCACTGAGCCCAGGGGCTGCAGCTCTCTGGGGAGCCCCGCTCTGCACCCTGGGGACTGACCGAGAGCTGCCAGTGCAGTGCCCCAGCCCAAACTGCACCCTAAGACATGGGGAGCAACGCTCCAGCCCCTTGTCTGGTGTGGGACGGGGAGATGCTGTGGTGCTGGAATGGGGACCCATGAGCCCCAGAGCCCTTGGCTTGGGCAGGACCCACCTCTGCTGGGGGGTCTGGGCAGGGCAACCCGCCTGGAGAAGGGAGAATGTGGAACGCAAACACGGGCTGTACAGAGACCACCCGGCGTGACCCCATCTCCCTCGACCCCCGGTGCTCCCCAGGGTGGGTGGGCACAGGGAGGGCCATGGCAAGCGCTACAGCCATGCGGAGAGGGAGCGGGTGTCAGGGGATGTGCACTGGGAAGGGGCAACGTGCTTGGAAGCACAGGGAGCAAAGCAAGGCACTCGTGCTGCGTACAGGGCCGAGGGACGTGCTCGGAGCAGAGCCCTCTGGGGACCCCTCAGCAGCAGCCACGTGGGATCCGTGTCTACTGGCAGTGCCAAGCCCTGCTCTCTCTGGGGGCTGCTTTTCCCCTGGGAATGGCAACAGCCGAGCCCCAGCCTGGCAGGCAGCAGGGCAGGGGAGCCTTCGGCCGTCTGTGGGGAAGTTGGATGCGGGTTCATCCAAGTCTCAAAGGGACATGACTCAGCCACGGTGATCCCGCGTGTCTATGGAGCTGCCATCCCATCTCCCACTGGTGAGTGCAGCATCAGGAGAGCACAGCTACCAGAGGTGTTAGGAGCCTTTCCCAGTCAGCCAGGACATATCTCCGGTTCTAAAAAAGAGAAAAAACCTGGCAGCACTGTGAGGTGTTTCCCAGTGCGCACAAGCAAATGTGCTGGGTGTGCCTGGGCACTGCCCTCGGCGCTACTCCAGCCATTGGCCATCGGTCCCCATCCCTCCACCCGTGCTGCTCGGCACAGGGGCACAGCCAGCCTGGCCAGGACAGCAGTGTCCCCTCCTTTGCCCTCACTCACACGTCACTATCCAAAAACTCAACTGCAGTTCCTTAATTCCGTGTAAAACTGAGGTCAAACAGTATTTTTTTAACTTAAGCCTTTCTGGCATTCAGCTGAAAATTCAAGGAAAGCCTCTGAGCAGCAAGTGCCTTTGGTCCCAGCCAAAAGGCAGCTTTTTCCCGGCAGATCTGTGCACCAGCGCCGTGCAAAGGGGACACAGCAGCCGTGCCCACCCACAGCGGGGCTCCTGCCACCCCCAGCCCCACCACCCAGCAGAGTGGCATCACCCCTGGGGTGGCTGCCAAAGAAGGATGCAGCTGTAACTAGTGTCCCCACACAGGAAGTAGGGACATGGCCCAAGCAGGGGGCTGGCTGTCCCTCCTGCCAGCCCTTGATGCCCAGCGCACCCAGGACCCCAAACCCAACGTACTTGCCGTGACGGACAAACAGCCTAAAAGGTGCAAAAGCAGCAGGAGACAGAGAGAGAAAAGACATTCAGGTTTAGGCAGTCCAGCTCCCTCCAGGCTTGCTGAGCCCCACCATGGGGGCCAGCAGCTTCCCCTGCCACCAGGCTGCCCATGAAATGCCACCTCCCTCCCAGCTGCAAACTGGGTGGCCATCAACCATTTCCTGATGTACTGGAGATGATGGGCATGACCCTTCCCCAGTCACTGGTGGCTGATGGACCCTCAACATGCTCCCCATCCCAGGGGTGCCCAGGGTGACTGAGCTGGCTTGGGGCTGCCCAGGGGCTGGGAGTGCTTCTAACCCCAAGCTATTTGGAAAAGTCTGCTTTTATTCCAGATGTGGAAACATCCTAGGGACAGGGACCCACATTCCCCCCTCAGCTCTGATTCCCACCCTAAAGGCTCCTGTTATCACCCCCCCAGCATTTCCCTTTCAGCACAGCATGTTCTGCACCCACCCTCTGCATGCAGGGGTCCACTCTTCCCTGTGTGAAGTCTTAAAAACAAAGTGAAGGAAGAAAAATGCACTTTTCTTGTGAGGTACTCCCCAATGGACCAGAGGCTGAGACACCAAGGGCCAGTGTCCCCGCACAACGAGCTCTCCAGGCTTTGCTCCTGCAGAGGGTTGTGCATGGGCAGCACACCCAGCTCCTCTGCAGGTCCCACTGACTGACTGGGTGCCCAGGGGCACCCCAGCATCAGGCGGTGCTGCCATGGTGACATGCCAGCGCCCAGTGGCAGTGAGAACCACTGTCCCATCTAGTCTGTGCAAGGATTTAGATCCTGGTGTTTAAGACAAACCTCCTGTGTGGGGGGTGCCAGACCTGGGGGTGGCCAAGAGGCAGCACTGGGGGGGGGCAGAGTGAGAAGGGAAGGAAGGGAGATGTGAGAAGGGTATAGAGTGGGGAGCATCGGGAAAGAGCTGCCCAGAGCCTGTCGGCGTCCAGCCTCGGGGTGCTCAGCCCTGCCGTGCACCCCACAGCTGGGCTCGGCCCCTGCCCTGGCACTGCTGGTTCCTGCAGCATGTCTACTTACTCCACATCACGCTTTCGGATGGTTCTGCCAGCAGACAGGACCTCAGTCACCTTGGATACGATAGGGTCGTAGTTCATGCTGGCCACTGCCACCACCTCGTCACTCCTAGGGCCAGGCAGAGCAGAGCAGTTAGGGCAGCCCCAGGTGGCCACAGCTCCATCACCCAAAAAGCAACATGCTGAAGAGCAGTGTGAAGGAAAAAGAAACACCCACTCCAGGGTTAGGACCCATCCCAAGGTGTGAGCACCACAGGGGCTGTGCTAGCAGTGTGGGACAAGGGACAGGAGAGGTCTCAGAGCTGACATTGCAGGTTGGCCCCACTGTGGTCTCTCCGATGCTCACATGCTGGCATGGTGAGCATCACTGGGGGCCCAGGGAATGAAGATAGCTCTGGGCACCCTGGCATCTGTGGGAAAACACCAGCAAAGGTGGATCTGGTGGTGGGTAAAACCTAGACATCAGCAAGGATCCCAGTCGTTGCTGCCATCTGGGCAGGTGATCCCTGTGCTGCTGCCCTGTACCAAGGGAGTGAAGAAGCGGGTGGTCAGGATTTCCCTGAGGGACACTCGATTGTGCTGCTCCACATCGCCTTCCTGATCCCCACCTCCAAGTGGGCTTAGTTTCCACCTCTGATCTGCTTCACAGGCACGCCCCTCCCAAAGCACCAGCTGTCCGATGCCAGGGTCCCACCAGCCCCAGGGGATGAAACTCCTGTGTATGTCCAGCAGCAGGTCCCAGTGCTGCTGACCATCATCCACCAGCATGCCAATGGGTCTCATGCCACCACGGTGGCTGGTGGCACAATGCAACCTCAAAGGCTGAATGGGAAACAAATGAAGCAGAAGGGAAGAGGATGTAAAAATGCTGGCGGAACTTTGGCTGAAGGTCACAAGAAAAATAAGAAGGGCTCTTCTGCTTTGAGGTTTGCAGAGGTCAACCTAAGTGTAAATCTTCAAAGACTGGATCCAGGAGGTGACTCATAAATAGATAACTGAATAGACAAACAATGCAAAGATCAGAGGAGGTGTGTGGGTAAGATATTAAACACTGGTGATATTGTTGAGTAAGTTGAAGAGTACAACCACTCAACAAATCGAGATCTGCTCTTCAATCCACTGCCAAAGGTCTTCATGACCAACAGAGCAAAGAGCAGCTGGGGGTGGGGGGAACATGTGTCTGATTCCTGGTCGGAGGAGAACAGAAGCCATGTTTCAGAGGACACTTCATCTCTGTGGAGCCATGCTAGCTGAAGTCACGTCTCATAGTTGTCTCACAAAGCCACAGCGGAGCTCCATCACAGAAGACTATATATTCCAAAAGGCTCCGATTCCTAAATAAGCTCACTACAAATAAGGGGGAGCAAGTCAGCAACAGAGTGGTCTGGCTTCCCCATCCCATGGGTGAGTACAGGTGTGCAGAGCAGATCAGGAGCCCAGAATCTTCTCCGGAGCCACAGGAGCTTGTCCACAACTTAGTCAACATCAGCCAGACCCAGAGATGGACCAACACCAGCCAGGCTCCAGCACAGGGTGCTGCTCCACAGGAATGGTTGCAGGAATTGGGAGCTGCTGCATTGCCAGGAGCTCTAGAACAAGACTTGGATGCCATTGGAAATCCCATCTCAAGCATTCTTAGGTCACTGCAGAGATGTGTACCTACAGCAGAGGGGATCTCTGATGGCCTGCAGCTCTTCCATCCAGCAGACCAGGTGGAAACAAGGAGCTGATGAGCAATACATTCTTGCCAGAAAATAGGCATCCGCATGGCAGGCAGTGAGGATAATTAGCCATCTGACAAAATTAAAAAGCACATGTGTGTTCAGCTGAACCACCTGCTGGGCTATCACATTTGAGAGCTGCTGCTGTGATTTAGAAGAGCTCTTCGCTTTCTGACCCTGCACCTTCTCTGTTGTGATGCTTGATGTCCTGCCTGATGTAAACAAGGTCCTCCACAGGATCGCATTCCCTAGGGATGTAACTCCAGTTATATGTGCAGGGTCTCAGGGGTTTTCTTTACAGCCAGCCTCCTTTCAAGAAGCTTGAAGCAGTACCTGATGGCACTGCAGTGCAGTGCAGATTCCCTCTTCTCCTGTTCCCCAAGTTCAGAAACACAAACTACCAGTGAGAACCGCATTCCGCCATGAAGCACAGCCTAGGGAGTCCCTACAAGATTGTTGTTTCCATCACACAGGGCCTCAGCCTTGGCTGCTTCACCATTGCTTGATGCCTCTGCTGCTCAGCACACAGCAGGGGCTGAGGCTTCAGGACTCCAGGGAGGCTCTGCACTACCTTCACACCACACCATGGTAGTCTTGAAGCTCAGTGGTTCCCTCTATGTTTGTTTTCCTAAGCACAGCCAGCTCCCAGCTGGGAAACACAAAGCAGCTGGACAGACCTATCCATCAAAACCAGGGGCAGATGTGCTGTTCCAAGATGTGCAAGGGAAAGGAAAGGGAGACGTAATGCCACCAGACACCCACCAGCTCCACCATAAGCCCAGCCAGTGCCTGACACAACCAACTGGGAAGGCAGATGCAGCCCAAACAGTTCCATCAGTAAGACATAGGGTAGCTGGTCCTTCTGTGAAATAACTCATGGGGCACTGGTGAACTGGAACATTCCACATCAACAGTAGCTTTTAAGCTTTTTGTCTGACAGATTAGGAAGCCGGGGGAATCCTTTTTCAAAACGTCTTTAGAGGCAACAAGAGTGTCCTTCCTGAACCTGGGATTTGGAGTAAGCAAAAGTCTTGATGCAAAGGTTGAGGGAAGATGAGGCAATGTGGATGAACACTGTGTCTATATGGTCTTCCCCTCCTCTGTAGGGTTCAACACAATGGAAGCAGGAAACCATGAAGAAGGCAAATGCAGCAATTCCCTGGATATCCCAAGATCTCTGAGGTCTTAGGTCTGGGATGCCACTGGTCTGTTCTGGCTGAGGTGCTGCGGTGAACGTAGTGTCCCATGTGGACATCTGCAGAGCACCATCCTGTACACCTGGCCCAGGGCCTCACGCTGACCTCTCCACAGCTCACGCTGCTCTGAACAGGGATAACTAAACAGCCTCCTTCTTCAGACTCCGGGGAAAAAAGAGCCCTGTTGTGAAAGCTGATGCTGAGGACAGGCTCTGGGAATGGGACCCACCAGCACTTCATGCACCAACCAGGACAGTGCACGCCAGGAGAAGAGTCTATGCTACTGGGTGGGCATGGCAGAAGGAAGCAGGAAGGGGTGGTTGATCTGGGACAGTGTCCTCAGTCTGAAAGCATTAGCACCAACCAGAAGAACTATCACCAAATGAGAAAAAGAGGAAAAAATGTTCCCAGTGGCCTCTCACAGAAGCAGAGACAGGGACTTGGTTACAGACAAGTAAAGTAGGAGGTACACTGTCCAGCCCCTCTCAAGCCGGTGCTTCCCCAGTACCTCTGCCTCTCAGCATGTGATGCCATCCTGGTACCCAAAAGCCATCTCTGGGAGCCCCTCCTGGGTGGCAGAACAAGACAGTGCTCAGCAGTGAAGTCCCACCAGGGAGCTGTCCCACACTGACCCCAGCTCTCCCGCGTGCCGGAGGGTCTGCCCAGGCTGCCCTCGCCCCCCAGCAGCCGCTGAGCATGGGACCACTGCACCAAGCAGGGATTATGCACCTTGCTTGGGGCTTTCCTTTTGAACAGGCTCTACAGATGTTTAATTAAAGCAATCTGACACTTCCTTTCTAATTAGATTTGGGATAAACAGCTAAATGCTCTGATGTGGAAAGGAGGAATAGAGGTTTCAAAGGTTACATGCTGGAAGGAACCGTGTGGTGCCGGTGCAGCCCATGGATGCCCAGCCCCGTGGTGCTGCCTTTGCCACAGCTGGGGACAGCAGGGACAGGGCACCCGGGATGGGGCAGAGCAGGGGCTGCGGAGCAGCTTCACAGGGAATGTAGCGGCAAAAGTCCACACAAGTCTGCAAACCACTGCAGCAAAACTGCCAAAAATGGGGTTTTATCTTCCCTTGGCTCACACTCACTGAGCAAACCGTATTTTAAAATGCTGCTTTGGCCATTACGTGCTTTGAAAGCACTTCAAAGCTTCAAGGCGGGGGGGAGTGACAACCCCCTGGCTGTAGCGATGTCCTCTTGTAGCACAGGTGGTGCCTTGGCACAAACCCACCCTTTCAGGCAATTTTGGCCAAGGTGCCCTCAAGCTCAGAGGTGCCTCCACGTGCAAAGGGCCCCCAGGTGCCAGCGGGTGTGGAGTCCCATGGCCTGCAGCAGGTTTAATCTGAGGTGCAGAAGCACCAGGAGAAGGAGGGTGAGTGCTGGGCACCCGGCTGGCTCCTGCCACAGAGCGATGGAGTGAGCCCTGCGCCTCTCCAAGCCTCATGGACACATCCTACTGCCAGGCTCCATCCTGGGGTGATGGGGACAAGCGGCCACCCTCAGGGAGGGGACACGGAGGGTGGGTTGTAAGGGACATCAGGCAGGGGACAAGGGGGCAGCGAGCCCTGGTAAGAAGATCTCTGCAGAGCAGGAACTTCTCCTGCCCAGAGCTCCCTCCTGATTCCTGCCCGAACGCTGCTGCCGAGCCGTTTGGTTGCTGAGCCAGGCAGACCTTCACTCTCCCCATCCTTAATAGTACAAAGCACTTGAGGAAATCCCCTCTGTCTCCAGGCGTGAGGAGGTTCTGTGGCTACTGATCTCAGATGAGGATGGAACAAAGAATAAACAGCGGCAAATATTTTGGGGATAAATTCACGGTGCACAGTCTTGTCAGTCTAAAAAGCCAGTGTGGCCCAAGAACAGCAGAGGCAACACATCCCAGGTGTCAACACACCTCAGGAAAACATTCCCAGACAGACTCCCAGCCTGGGGAGAGCTGGGTTTCACTACAGGTGCAATGACAGCTCCTGAACTTTTGCCAACCTTCACAGCTTGATAATAGACAGAAGAGTTTTTTGAGCTTATTTGTCAAACAAGCAGCAAGAACAGTGATGTCTGTGGTCCCAGTCCAGCCTTGGTCACAAATCATTAACACAGTGATGAGATGGGAAGGAAATCTTTGATGGGAATTGCCAGCAACAAATTAATAGAAGCCATTATCTGCTCTCAGATAGTACATGAACAGACAAAGTGCTTACATCTGGCAGAGACATTAGATCCAAAGACCAGTTTAACTTGCTTAGCACATCATTTCACTAGGGCCTTTTATTAATGTCCTGCAACCTCAGTGTCCAGAAATGAACAAACCCAACTGACAGAAGCTCTGTCAAAAATATTTTCCAGCCTAGCGGAACAAGCTTAGACAAATGCCTGTGCAGGAATGTAGAGAAGAGAAATGCTTACTTGGTATAAAATGCCACAAACTTCAGTTCATCTAAATCTCCCTGAATGACGACATCATCGAATCCTTCCCCATGGCCTGGAAGGCAGAGAAGAAGCAGCAGATTCAGCAACAGCTCTAGCTCCTAAGACAGAGTGTTTCAGTCCAGAGCTACACAAAGCGCATTCTGCAGTCACCAAGAGAGCAGCACTGGAAGATGGTGGCACCAAGAAGCAAGTTCAGGGAGGCAATCTCTGTTCACGCTGCACCATCCCCTGCAACCACAGCCATCCCTCTAGCCCTGCACCCTGTGGCCACAAGCAGAGGGGTTTCAGAGGAGACACCAAGCCCCTCCGGAGCCAGGAAGGGAAGCAGACCCGAGGCAGAGGTTGTCATGGAGGGGTCACAGCAAGGGAGGTAGCTGTGGTTTCTCTATCCCAGGACACCTCCACCAGCACAAATTTTACAGCAGCACTGTGGAGCCCCTTACCTGCGTATCGGATGCTCTTCCCAAACATAGCAGTCCACAGATATGGGACTGTGCTGATCTCCATGCCGTGGGCCAGCATGTTCAGTGCAGCTATACGGCCTGGAAGAGAGAAGCAGCAGAATAAGCAAGGAAGGTCCCCACTGGGGCAAGCACTGTGGTCTCAGCACAGCATCGACATCTCCAATCCCAGAGTCCAGGGAAACCAAGACCTGCTTAAGCTCGTAAAATCTCGTACAGCAACAAGCACCAACAAGGAAATGTATCGCATCATCCAAGGCTGGGCTCAGACTCCTCCCTGGCAGTGCAGCTCCAACTGACTCATCACCTCCACTGGCACAACCAATGTGCTCATGAGCTCGTTTCAACCCAGCTTCTGCAATGGTGACAGGTCTGAGAGCTTGCTGAACTCCCACCACAGACAGGAATGGGACAGATGAACCCCCTGGGGGCATGGAGATAGTTGGGGTAGAGCCCTGCCACAGAGGCGTGGCTGGACCAGCACTCAAGGGATCTGTGTCCAAAGGCTAACTTTGGAGGTGTGCTTCCAAAACCTCTCACCCAAGCCACCCACCCAGAGGTCAACCTCCCCATAGGGTTGTGGCCTTGAAAAGCTCAAGGGCAGCCTGTCACACTTGGGAGTTTCCAGGCTTGCTGGCATGGAGAGGAGAAAGGTCTCAGCTCTGCAGCATGCTCCTGGGCCAGCCCAGCATCGTTGGCAGCACAGCTTGGGATGTAAACCCAAACTAACATTAGGGTGTGAGCTCCTAAGTGTCCCAGGACAAGGAGAAGATCAGGCTCCTGCAGCAACTGCAGATGCCAGGGAGCACACAAGATATGGGAAAGCCTGTCCCTGGGCACCTCTGTGTCTGTAATGAGGCATCGTTAGGCAATGCACATCAAGAAGGCTGACAAGATAAAATAAAAATGTTTCAAAATGTTTACTACAACTACCCCATTTCCCTGTTGGCAGTTGTCCCTTTCTCTTGCTGGAGGGCTTGGAAATTTCCTGGGAATCTGAAAAAGGCTCTTTTCCATAAGCAATTTGCTGTCGCAAAGTGAAGGGACTGAAAAGCACCTACCATGCATATGGGCCATCTGCCAGTGAGGGATGTTCACCTTCTTATTATTCCTCAAGGCCAGCGGGAATGTGACAGCATCACCGGCTGCAAAGACTCCGGGGATGTTGGTTTGCATCATCTGCAGTGGGGAAGCAGAAGTGCACATGGGTGGGGTTTGTGCCCTACGGCAAACAGGGACCTGCCTGAGAACCACCACAGTCCCCAAGGGCACATGGACAGCCTCTGCTCGGCTGTGGGACCCCTGGGTGGGATTCAATTTAGCGTTCTTCACTTTCAAAGTGGACCATGCAGGCAGGAAGGAACCCCCAGCATCCCTCTGCCAGTGGGGTTACAACACAGACTGGAGTCCTGAAGCCCCTCTTAGAAGATTGGGATCTACTGGTCCTATTGCATGCATGAGCAGAAAGTGCAGGGGTGGGTGACAATGAACCCCTGGAGCAGAGGTCCCGACACACTCCTCACTCACAGTGCACACCACCCATCAGTGCCAACACCACTCCATCAGTCACTGGAGGGGGGGGAGGAAAGACAAGATCCTTTGGGATCCTTGAAAAGCTGGATCTTTCTCCATTTCTTTCCCCCCAGAATATCCACAGCACTCCAGGAGAGCTCAGAGTTGGACCCTTGCACAGCACCCAGGGCTGGTATTTGCAAACCCCTCATTTGGAGGGGGTCCCAGGCACTCCAGCATGATGCCCCCAGCATCCCAGAGGAGGAACCACCCCTGCGACAGCAGTTCAGAGCGTGGGGGAAGCTCAACTTGGAGGAGTCCATGCAGCTCCCTCTCCTCTCCCCTCCAGTGGGGGCTGCCCTCCAGGCTCAGGCTCACCTTGTTGACCACGACAAAGCCTTTGGAGTCAATGTTGATGCCACTCTGCTTGAGAAAGCCCGTCGCTGGGACTGCGCCTGTGGGAGAAGGCAAGGGCTGCCGGCACAGTAGCCGGGCATCCCCGCAGCCCCCACAGGGGGGCCAGCAGGTCTCCCCCTGCCCAGACACCCATCTGCCCCAAGGGAAAGGCAGTGGGGAGCAGAGCCAGGCACCCTAAATAGTCCTTGCTACATCACCCTCTGCTCCCAGGTCCCTACTGCTCCCCAAGCCATTGTTGCACCGCTGTAACCTGGTCATCACCTTTTTCTAATGCTTGAAGATAATTTTCAATCCACTTCTCTTATATAGATGTTTTGAAAAAAATACGTTTAAGAGGGAGCCCTTGGGTTTCCTCTGCCTCCCCCAAGTCTGTACCTTTTCTTCAGCTTTCATTTTCCCTTTTTGATCTCTTTTTCCTCTAGCCTCCACAAATTGGAGTAGTCAATAAAACAACAAAAGCAGAATTAAACCAATTCTGTGATTCTTTCAGTCCACAACATTTTGAAAAGTTGTAGAGTGAGAAAGGGATTTCTGCCCACCCACCAAGCATAAAAGAGAAAAATACCCTATTCCACAGCAGTGGCAACAGTAAAAAAAAAAAACAAAAACAAAAACAAAAAAAAACAAAACAGGAAAAAAAGTTCGATTTGGGGAGACTTTAAAAAAACAACTTGAGAGAATGAAGTTGGTTTCAATGGTTGTTTTTTTTTTCTGGAAAAAATTAGTTACTATTTTCCAAATATATTTTCAATTCTGGGGTGAAGGTTCTAGAAAGGCCTTTTTCAGCTTTGCTGTGCAGACTCATGTGTGGCAGCCGAGTGGGGCTGGGACATCACCACCAGCATCCCCAGCCCCCCAGCCCTTGGGACCATAGCTGGCATGTCCCCTCCAGCTCTGCCTCCACCGGGCTCCATGCCCGCAGCGACGGCCCTTACCAACACCAACCACACACACGTCAGCGCGCAGGACCTTCCCGCTCTTCAGCACAACCTCTTTCAGCTGCATGAGACACAGAGGGGCATCACAATTATTTTAGAGACAAAAAAACCCAAAACCTTGCAGCAGCAGCAAGCCAAGCTGGCAGCTCACTTCATTTTTGACCATAATTCTTTATAAAGGCAGCAGGAAGAGGGTGGGAGCAATGAAACCCCACACTCCATGGCTGGAACACATTTGCTCCTGCAGGCTAAATGCAGGAATATGAATTTCAGGGGCTGGGAAAGAATAGAGGGCAAAACCCCAGCGGCAAAGGGAATGGCTTCCCCAGGGAGCCCCTGCCCACACCCTACCTTGCCCTCCTGCTCCCTCAGCTCCGACACCTCTGTCTGCATGTAGAACTTCACCCTGTTGCTCTCGAACATCTGAAGGGGGGACATGGGACAGAGCAGGGAACGTCAGGACCCCGAATCACTCCCACTCCTAGTGTCCCTGTGCCTCCTGCACTACCCTGCCCACCCCCCTGCTCATCTCCATCCACATTGCAAAGGGGGTTGGCACCACCTCCACCCCTGACATGTGTCCAGAAGGGACCATGAGAGGGAAGACGCAGTCCATCCTTTCTTTCTAGTGACTGCTACCACCATAGATTAATAAATAATCATCAAATAACAAATTAATTAGTGCAATAAATGAAACAAGCAGAACCCACTTTGTCACCAAAACCACACCCCAGATGGGAAAGTGAGTTCACCTTCATGACAGCACGCCCAACCTTCTCCCCAAAGAACTTCTTGAAGGGAACTTCCTCCAGCTCCACCAGGGACACCGAGTGGGCCCTCTCTGCGAGGTAGGCAGCCACCTCCATCCCTGGGGAACAGAAGCAGGTCTGAGTGGCCGTAGGAACAAACCCAGTGCTGCCCTGTGTGCTCAGTACTGACCACAGCAGAGGAGCAGCCTTGCCCGTTCCTGGCTGGGGAGCCTGGAGCTGCTCTACTAGGAGATCTGGGGTGCCACCAGTCCTAGTGGCCACAAGGGGCCACACCATTTCAGGTGAGGTTTATGGCAATTGTTCTTAGATGCAGGTTTCAAAGACCAAAGGGAGGGACTGGTCATGATGAAGTCCCAAAGTACCCCGGGAAGAAGTATCACTTGGAGCAATGGACATCAGATGAGGGAAACCTTCCTCTTACGGCTGGGACTGTCTCAGCAGAGGTAATGAGCTGTGGGCTGTGCCTAGCTGTTTTCTCTGATCAGAACGGGACAGTTTTGGTGCTGACAATTGCATGGGAACCTTCACCAAGACATTTTCTACCTTTTTTGGAAACAGATCTTTTTGATGACCTGCAGTTTGCAATTGCCTGCCCCCCCCATACGCTTTTCTGTAGATGGGGTTGATTGAACCATTAAAACAGGAATTCTTTTTTGAAAATAAGAAAAACAAATACTGAACATCTTATAAGAAATTCCCTGAGTAATAACCATTTATGCTTAAGGCTTTCAGGACCTACAATAATTTTGTTAGAACCATATCAAGCAAAAAGAAGAATCATCAAAGGAACTATAAGATTTTTTCCTGTGTATTGTAAACATTCACCTGCTAAAAGAGAAATAAATCCATAGGCTTTCACCTATGAACAAGACCCTCCCAGCTGAAGCCAAATGTGGACACAGCCAGTTTGAAACCACCCAAGCACCAGCAGTGGACCTGTCGTATGCTATTCAGAGTGGGACAGCAATACCTGTGACCATGCAAACTGAACAGCCCAATCTCATCACTAATATCAGCTTCTTCAGCAAGGAAATGTCCTTATCGCTCACCTGGAGCTGGAGGTCTACCCTGAGGTCTAGTTTGGAGGTGGGGAGGATGGGGGGGATTACCTCTAACTGGACAGTAACAAACTGGGCAAGGAACTCGACCACCTGCAGGAAGGTGTGGACAGCCACAGAGCGAGCGCTCACCCAGGAAGGATGCTCCCACGATGACCACATTCTTGCTTGTGGCCAGCTTCACAACACGGTTGGCATCTTCAGGTGTCCGGATGTTGAAAACGTTTTCCACCTCCTTGCCTTTGCAGCTGAGAGCTTTGGGCCTGAAAAACACAAACTGAGGGCAACACAGGTGCTTTTCTTGAGCCCCATGGTGGCAATTGGGACTGAAGACCCCCTTTCCACAGCTCCAGCAGCATCTCAGCCTTTCCTTTTTTCACCTTTCTCTGGGCTGGAGACATAACACAGAAAATTCCAAATGCTGGTGTACAACGGCCAGAGCACGACTACGAATGCTGGGGCAGCAGGGGCTGCTTGGTGGCCGCCTCTGTCCCCATCCATGGCCCAGTGGTACTCACAGGCTGGGGTGAGCTCCCTCCCAGGATGATGCAGCTCAGCACAGGGTGGGTACTGCTTTGTGAGCTTGTGCTTAACTGTTGGTGTGTTGTAAAATTTTCACAAGGTTAATGGGACACAAAAAACTCACTCTGTCCTCCAGCAGACACTTTGGAGCCAGATATTGAAAGTTTCATAAGCCGCGGCAGATGCAAGTTCCACTATCCCTGCCCAGAGGACTGGGCACACCGCTGATGCTGTAGCAGTTCAATCGTGTCCTCCCCGTGCACTTACCAGAGCCTATCTATTTTTAAATATCTGGCCCCTGAATACCCGACTCACATCTGGAAATGGGACAGACAATCATAAATAATTTAGGTACCTCAAAAACATTTATCCGGTGTACCTGGAGCTTGTGCATAAGCATTTTGAAATTGTTGCCAAAGGCTTAATCCTCTTTTGAACCTAATTAGGTGGCTGATGCAGATGGCATTTTGGCTGTGGCGCTGCACACTCCAGCACCAGCCATGAGCACTCGGTGGGGCTGTTGCTGTTATTGGTGGCACACACGATTGCAGCAGGAGTTCCTGCTCTGGCTGTTCTACAGCATCACTTCCCAGGATGATAAATTTTGCAGGGGATGCATTTCTCCTACTTTGTTTTGTGCCTTGGTGTTAGAGCACAAGGAAAGGGAGCTGGGACCCCTCATTTTCATCTTAACACATTGGCTTTCCTCCAGCCCTCAGGCACATCGCCTGTTCTCCTGGCCCTTTCAAAGTGATGAATAGTGGCCCAGCAATGACTTTTCCCAACTCCTTCAGCACTCGTGGGGGCATCCCATCAGGACCCAAGGACTTGCAGATAACCAGTTTACTTAATTGATCTCAAACTTGATCCTCCTCAACCAAGGGAAAGTCTTCCTTCATCCAGACTTTCTCTGTTTCCTTTACTCCTGAGCAGTAAAGACTGAAGCAAAGAAGGCACTCTAACTCTGTCTTCTCTGCATCATCACCAAGGTCCTGGGCATTGATTTTCATTGATTTTTATATATGATGGGAATTTCCTCTGGGAATTTCCCGAGTCTCTCCCATACACTGTTGTGCTGGTCCCCAAGGAAAAAGCACAGTGTGCTGCTGACAAATTCCCCCGCCTTTTCAAATCTCATTTTTCTATCAGTTTCTTTAACACCAAACAGCCCGTGCACCCCCACTGCTTAAATAGGTACTTTTTGTTAATACCCTTTTGACCATGAGACACCCCAGGGAGCAAATCCCACAGCTGCCCCACCGGCCCCCATGTCTGGTGGTTATCTGTTTTCTGGGTGGCTCTTGGGTGACACAGATACTTTCTATCTTTGGCTGAGCAGACATACCCAGCACAGCTTGATAAATATATACATCAGATAGATACAGGTATAGGTATAGATATATACAGACATGTGTTCTTTGCCTTTTCTGCAATCACTCTTGCAGACAAATTCATTGTCCAAATCCATTGTCCACCATAGTTGACTCCCTATCCCTAGGCACAAGCTCATTCTTAGATAAAACAGTTTCTCTTTATCTTTAAAATGTTTGTTCATAGCTTACGTGTTTCCAGTCGCTATCAGCAGCTTGTTGTATTCCATCTTGAATCCATCCTTGAACACGGCTGTCTTGTTCTTGATATCCACAGCTGCAACCTGAAATCATTCCTAAATAATGTTAAGAGATGAAATCCCAGATGTTTACTAAGGTCCCAGCCCAACCAACATGTCAGTTAGGTTTTAATCCCCTGTGTTCCTGTCCACAGCTTAGCAAACCCAGACCTTTAATATTGCTAGTTGCCTTTTCACAAATCCTTGAACTTCTGGTACAAATAGAAAAATGGGGAGACATGTTTAAACCATCACTGTCTGCCCTGCTTGCAGGCTGCTTATCCTAATCAGATACCAGTTGGTCACCCCAGATCCACATGAGGATGCTCACAAATGGTAGGTAAGAAACGATGGTCACCACAGAGTTTGCACAGAGTGTCATTCCTGCCGCAGGATGAACTGCATGAACTGTGGTTTTGAACAATCACAGGCAACCTGCACTGGGGCATAAAACAGGAGGGGCTGGAGGAGACCCAACGCTTCTACAACAGCACTCAGTGAGCCAAGAGCAGAGACAGGCACCACATTTCCTAAACACTGACTTTGAGTACCAGCACTTGCAGAAGACAACCTGCAGGTACGCGTAGGACTGTCCTTACCTGCATTTCTGTCAGGACTTCGATGTCATAGGTGCGAAAGAACTCCTTGGGACGCAGGGCGATCTGCTCTGGGTGGGAATCCATTGACTGCAAAAAAAAGCCATTTTCTGTCAACCACTGTGCGTCAAACAGAGAAGTGGAGAAACGCCTATTACGAGCCCAAGTTAGTGGTAGTCTGAAGTCAGTCCTTATGGCATGGGTTAAGAGTTGCTCTACGTGGGCTGGAATCAAAGCCTGTTCAAATAAGAGTTATCACAAGATGCTGGACTGGGCTCTGGTTCCTTCTCTGCCTGCTTGGCACGGGGGTGGCAAGTGCTTCTAAGGGTCTGCAAAGCAGCTTTAACCGTAGCTCCCTGTCATACACACAAGTTCATAGGAGCAAAAGAAAAGCACCATTATTTGGAAAACAACCAGTTGCCAGGGGAAATGGAAGTTAAAAGACCAACAAGAACAATCAGCACTAACACAGCAAGGGCAACACTTTCAAAAGCACCCAAGTTATGCAGCACAATTTCCCTCAAAAGCTGAAGCAGTGGCATGTGGTCCATATCTACTTATTTTTAGCTGCAAGATAAAGGTTCCTGCTCTTTCCAGTCTTCTCTGGTACTTGGGCGAGTCCTACATCATCTTTACTCACAGGGCTGGGCTCATATTTGAGCTCAAGTTCATTTGTCCTCCTAACACTGTGGACACAAGCTCAGACATAGGCTAAGGACACTGTAGAGAGGTTGGTGCTGGTCTCTTCTCACAGGTAATTAGTGACAGAACAAGAGGGAACGGCTTCAAGCTCCAACAGGGCAGGTTTAGATTGAACATTAGGAAAGAATTTTTCACCGAAAGAGTGGTCGGGCATTGGAACAGGCTGCCCAGGGAGGGGGTGGAGTCACCATCCCTGGCTGTGTTTAAGGGCCGTTTAGATGCAGTGCTGAGGGACATGGTGTAGGGGAGGACTTTGTAGAGTAGGGGAGATGGTTGGACTCGATGATCCCAAGGGTCTCTTCCAACCTAGACGATTCTATGATTCTATGACAAGCTGACCACCAAGGGACTTGTGTGCAGGCTACTCCATGCTCCAGTGCATCCCTCCCTGCCTGCAGTACAGTGGGGATGGGCATGGCCACACACATGCCACGGTCAAGCCCTGCAACATATCACACAGCGCCAAGCAGCAGCAGCAGCATCTGCTTGTGCCTCACAGGTATGACATTTGGGCTTGACCCAAGGGGGACAGGGGATGCAAGAACCAAGGGCTTCACCATCTGCCCCAGCGATGCATGTGCAAGGTCCTTCTCCCTGGAGTTGGCTCAGTCAGGGGCTGGGATGAGCCCTGCAGGACATTCCACAACTTCAGATAACGCTGTGCTCAGAAGATACCCAGGTCTTGTGACTTGAGGCATGTGCAGGGTTTTACTGCAAATTCTTCAAACTCCCAGCATTTACAGAGAGGAATATCTGACCCCACGGCTTGGGAGCGATGGCCCCATGCCGGTGTGCAGGAGCGCAGTGCACAACCACCATGGGTTTTGCTGCTGTTCAGAGACGGTAACAGGGACATTGCAGCACACCAAGGAGCAGGTCACAGTCCAAAGGGGTAATGCAGGAACAGTCCAGCAGGACCCTGGGACAGATTTATAGCTTGTTCAGCAAGGCAGAGGAAGGGCAATGCTGCAGTTTCAGGTGGTAAGTCTGCTCCTTACAGCTTTATGTGCTCCTCTTCTAATGAATCTTTCCAGGGTTAGTCCCACTCACAATAGGATTATGACACCTCCTCTAGTGGGAGGTGTCCCTGCCCAGGGAAGGGGGGTTGGAACTCCATGATCTTTAAGGTCCCTTCCAACTCTAACCATTCTATGGTTCTACGATTCTATGAAGAAAAATCCCCTTTTCTTTTCTAGCTTCTTCCCAAAAATTCTGCCTTCTCTTCCATGGGCTTTGTGCACCTTCCAAAAGAAACTACAGCCAGAGATGATTAGCGGAAAGTTTAAGAAACCATGCATAACATCTCTGGCATGTGAGATGTTCTTACTATTTAACAGAGAGTGAAAAAGGCAGTCTAAGACTCACACAGTGGGAATAAGTGTTTCTGAGAGCTGCCTGGCTGGGACAGGGACCGTGAGCTTCTCTGAGCTCCCCAGCATAGCCTTGGTGACTCTTGGATGCAGGTTTCAGCCAGCTGCTCCTCAGCACAAGCAGGTCTTGTCCAAGCACAGAAATGACTTGAATGCTATCAAGAAAGTCACATTTGAAAATCACTTTGCCTTGGGGCTGGGAACAGAGTTAGATGCTGTGATTGCAGAGTACCAACCCCCATAGATAAGTATCTCTGACATAAAGGGGAATACACACACCGCCTGTTCTGATGTTATCTCCAAGCTTCAAGGTCAAATGCTGCTGTCGGGCCTGAGCTGCTGTCTGATATCAAGTAAGGCTCAGGAATCAGTAATAAAAACTGTGATTAGAAGATCATCCTGTGTCTACAAATTGGAATGCGGAATGGGATGTGTGCCAGAAAAAAGTGATCTTTGCACTGCGATCAAGTTACCAAGTTGTGACAATGACCAATAATCATAATAATTATGGCGTGAAGCATCGCCAGGCAGTAAGAACCTGGCAAACAGTGCAATTTTTTCACATGCCCCATTTCATTGCCCTAAAGATTTTGATCCAGAAACATAAGAAGAAGATCCATTCAGGTATGAGCTGGCCAGGACAGCTATTGCTAGCCCTATAAAGAACGCCCTTGTTCCTGTGCTGGAGTACTCCTAGTTCCAAGCCCGAACAACTCCTCTTTTGTGTTTCATATCTCAGTCAACAACAGAAATGAAAATCCAAAGGAAAAGAGATAGGACAAATCAGAAAGAAGATACATGCTGCTGCAATGAGTAACAGGGGGACAAGTTCTAGGGCAAATTTTAAAACTGGGAAAGAATGAGACGTACCCAAAGTGATACAAACCTTACTGAGCTTTGGTCTGTCATAGGGCAGGTGTCTGTCCATCGTGCACATCACAATCCTGTCTGAGAAACCCTCCTGGCGCAAGGTCTCTGCACAGACCAGTCCAGCTGCCCCTACGGGAGAAGGAAGACTGGTGGCGGCCATGTGTCTGAACCCTTTGCTCCTAAACCCCACCAGAGCTGACTCCAAAATCACCATCTCCACTAGCCCTGGCCCGATTTCACGTCCCTTCCCAAGTCAACCAGCTTGCAGGGGAAGCCGGTCGGGGCAGATACACCAGGCAGGAGGAGGGACCCTTGGTCTGTGGAGTGTGACATTAATCCTCTGCCGGACTTGTCTGTCCCTAAACTCACACAAACCCCCAAAGAGCACACCTGAGGAGTGCTGTCAAAGCCTATGCATCTTCCAAGCTCAGGGGCACGGGCAGACACTCAGGCCCTTGCACTTCCCTGGTCAGGGAAGGGTCTGAGCACTCCGCTCCTGGTGAATCTACAGCCAGACATGGAGGGCAGGGAGACCTGTGTCCTTCACAGCTGAAGTGTTGGTTGCATGTAGAGGATTTTGCATGCAGTTTCTTTGAGGTTTTTTTGTTTGCTTGTTTTTAAACATAATAAGAAAGGCTAAATCAAACAAAAACCTGCCTTGGGGTGTGCTGTCCCCCTGCTTCCAGGCAGCCTGATGGGCATGTCCCTTCCTCCCTGGCCAAACTGGTGAGACTTGAGAGCACAAGAGAGAAGTCCTGACTCTCTTTGAAACTAAATAGGCTTCCCTCAACGATGAGTGCTGCTGGGGCCGCAGTTTCTGTAAGACCAATGAATGAAGATGGACGTGGACAGTATCATGGCTTGATCCATTAACAAAACACTCCTGTTGATGGAGGTGGGGGACAGTGGAAGAAGGGACAGGTGAGTGGACATCCCATAGAAGCTGTCTACAGCATGCTGAGCCAGGACAGATGCTGGGCTGATGCCAGGATGACCATCACATGAGCAAGGGGCCGCAGTCACTTGCCCTCATCTGTGCTGGGCATGGCTGGGTCTTGGTCCTGGATGCAGGGCAGGACAGATTTCTTCCCAACACTTCTTCCTCACAACCCTAGCTTTGAAATCTCCTTTCCCACCCATCAGAACAGACCTCGGGCTTAACAGACCTGTAAATTTAGCTGGTCAAGTCTGAGAAGTTTCCTTCAGCAATGGCTAACATTGCCTGTGGAGTGCCCCAGCTGAGGATCTTGATGACTGTCCACCCCTGCCACACACCAGGACAGCCCAGCTGACCTCAGGGAGCAGCAGTGTCCCACCGTGGCTTTCAGTCAACAGCAGGGGTGCAAGGAAGGCAAAAATGTTACCCAGCAGTAAGGGAAAAACCAGACAGGCTGGTTTTCCTCTCTGCTCAGGCTGCAAGCTGCAACTGACATGGCAGGAGCAGGAGATTGCAGTGTGCTTCCCATCTCCACAGCTTGGATCTGGTGACCTGGGGGTTGTAATCATGAAAGAACAACCCATGTGCCAGGAACAGCCATTCGTTCCCAGCCCCAGGTCCAACAATGGACAGCTCGTGTCCTCCTTTCACCCTCTATTTCATCACAACATGGTCCAGCCTAGCATCCAATCCATTCCAGAAACAGGCAAACTCACTCCACGGCTTTCTACACAAATTGCACTACACAAACAGAGCCAGAACAAGAGGTAAGAAAAGATAGCCTGGCAGTTTTGCCGTTTCATGCAGGGTTTTGATATTTTCTGGGAAGACGGAAGAATTTATCTTCAGAGAAGACCCTTGAGGTGACAGCTTTGGGTCTGCAGAAAGCTGCAATGGGATGAGACAGACATGTGCAGGCTCCAAGAGAAAAGGTGTATCTGCATCACAGGAACACCTGAGAGGACTTTACACTTATCAGTTGTGGAAATCAGAGGTTACTGATGTATCTGGGGAGGGCATAGAGAGAAGGTGATTCAGGGCACCCAATACAAAGGACTGTGACAGGGAACTACGAAGCTCCATAGACCAGAGGTACAGGGTGCCTTTGGACCATCAGTGTGTAGTACAAAGAGACTCAGGAAGACCCTCTGGTCTGACCCATTGCACAGGGAGGGACACAGGAGGAGTAACAGAATGTGCACAGTGCACAGACACTCTTCTCTCTGCACACCCGTCCAGGAGAGGACACGCACAGCAGCCCCAGCACACACCACCCCATACCTGCACCAATGATCAGCACGTTGGTACTGCTCAGGTTATAGTTGCTCAAGGAGATGCACTTTGCCATCATCTTTGTCCTCCTCTGTGTCTGAAGAGCCTATGCCACCAACAAGAAGAAGCAAAGTCATTATCTTTTCTCAGCTTTTACCTGGGTAGCTGGGCAGGAATGGGGACAACTACGCTATTGTCATAAAACAGCTTGGATAGAAAGGGAACAACTGTACCCTTGTACCCAGTGAGGACTCCAAATCCATGGTCACCCAAATACATTTCCACCATCCAGTGCACCACACCCTTACAAGGTACAAAACAAAAACATTGTCTTCTGCAAATTCATGCGGGTACACAGAGCTGGGGGCAAAAAAAAAATAAAATAGAAAAAGCAGCCCAGGTGTGTCATTGTGCATTTCTGCAACCAACAGGTGAGATGGAAATGCAGAAGTCCTATCAGGAACTCTATCCTGTGCTTGAGCAGAGCTTGTATACCTCTGATATCCATAGCAGTGGATTGACCTGTCCAACCTATGAGAGCACACCACTGTAGCCCTGCTGCACAGACCCCCACTTGCCAGCTACTGGAGGCCAAAATCCATTTCTGGTAGAGGGTACAGGCTCACCCTCCTCATCACATCCCACCTGAACCAGCTGGAGTAGAAGTGCTGCCATTCAGGTGACCTCTCTGGATTTAACCCAAGTGCTGTAATGGTCTGGCTGTTTCTGAGCAGCTGGGTTCACACATGCATATATGCAAATGTGCGTCAGAAGGTGGCTTTTCATGGAAAGAAAGATGGCAGCTCTGAATGGGCTTCATTCCACATACTATCTGAGGGGATGAGACCCATCCCTGCCCACAGAGCAGGCTCCTCTCCAGCAAAAGGAGCTGGACTCAAGTGGGAGCACAGATGACCTCTGTCATCCCCGTGCCACATTCAGACCCAGCAGACAAGGCAAAAAAGCTGTTTCCATGGGCCAACTAAATCAAAAGTTGCTACAGGTCTAAGGAAACACAGGACAAGTTCAGGACAAAGACCTCCTGGATCCATGGACACCCCAACTCAGGTGTCTGGCCGGGAAGCTGGGGGAGCACAGGCAGGACAGGAGGGGGACACAACACCTCCTGCCTCCATACGAACTTCAGGCTGTTGCTTGAGACAGGACAGGGTCAGGTGGACCTTTCTTTGGTTTACCCATGTTGGATGCTCACACATCCTTCTGTTCAGGCACTGCTTCCCCTGCCATGGAGCCCACAGAAAAGCATTTCCCCTCTCCCCCCACGCGCACAGACCAAAAAGCAAAAGTATGGGCCTTGATTTTGGGATGCCCGAGGCCCCTCACCTGCTTGCTTGCTCGGATGTACACCTTCTCCTTCTCAATCTTCACCTGAGGGTGACAGAACAGCAGTGGTTTGCAGGCCGGTGAGTGCCTCTGGCACAAAGAGAGCGATTCCTCCCTCTGTGCAACAGCTAACGAACGGAGCAGCGATCTCACCAGGTCTCCTGTAGAGCGGCTCAGACCATGCCAGGGCTCACCCCAGCTCAAGGCTGTGGGATGTCTCCTGTCTCTTATCAACTATGCACCAATGGTTAGTGTAAAACCTGATCCGTATCTCAGGCTTACGGCGTGTTCCTCAGTCCCACCCCACTCCTGGACAAGAGACCCAGACTGTCCACCTCTACCCTTAGGTTCCCAGGAGGTGTCTGATGCCTGTAGGTGGGTGCAAGGGGAGCTGCAGGGAGGAAGGAGAGCTGGGTGAGGTGCCACTGGCTACCCCAGCATGTGCTTGGAAAATGTTTGCTCCGTGCCTTAAAAGACCATGCTTATCCCAACGCAAACAGCCATTTTGCTGATGACAACAAGCTGAGTGATGTAGTTGACATTCTAGAGGGACAGGATGCCATCCAGAGGGACCTGGACAAGCTCAAGAAGTGGGCTCATGTGAACCTCATGAAGTTCAGCAAGGCCAAGTGCAGGGTCCTGCACCTGGGTCATGGCAATCCCTGATATCAATACAGGCTGGAGGATGAAGGGATTGAGAGTAGCCCTGAGGAGAAGGGTTTGGGCGTACTGGTGGATGAAAAGCTGGACATGAACTGACAAGTGTGCTGGCAGCCCAGAAAGCTACCTGCATCCTGAGCTGCATCACCGGTGGGTCAAGGGAGGGGATTCTGCCCTGCTACTATGCTCTGGTGACAACCCCACCTGGAGTCCAGCTCTGGGGCCCCCAACATCAGAAGGACATGGAACTGTTGGAGAAAGTCCAGAGGAGACAACAAAAAAGGTCAGAGAGCTTGAGCACCTCTGATCAAGGACAAGCTGAGAGAGTTGGGATTGTCTAACCTGGGGAAGAGATGGGTCCAGGGAGACCTTATTGCAGTCTTTCAATACCTAAAGGGGGCCTATAGGAAAGCTGGGGACAGAATTTTTAGCAAGGCTTGTTGCGATAGGACAAGGGCTAATGATTTTAAACTAAAAGAGAGTAGATTCAGACTGCACATAGGGAAGAAATGTTTTACAATGAGGGTGGTGAGACAACTGAACAGGTTACCAAGAGAAATTTTGGATGCTCCATCCCTAGAGGCATTCTAGGTCAGGTTGGAGGGGCTCTGAGAAATCTATCTGGTGAAAGATGTCCCTGCTCATTGCAGGGGTGCTGGACTAGGTGCTCGTTAAGGTCCCTTCCAACCCAGACCATGCTGTGATTCTGTGAGTTCCTCTGCTGCTGCAAGAACAAAGGTCTCACCTGAAACCTGGGTAAGCTGTCCAAGCCAGGAAAGTCCTCTATGTCTCCTGTGCTGATGTTGAAGCAAGCTCCGTGCCAGGGACAGCGGACTCTTCCTTTGGACAAAACCCCTGCAGGAAACATGGCAGAGTAGAGTTGGTGCTGCCCCGCTGCTCCCTCCCACCCCTGCCCCACGATCCAGCTGCCATGACCTGGCCAGGGCAGGGGTGGCAGAGGCCAGGTCTCCCTCCTGCTGTCCCCATGATGGTGGACTCCTCAGCTTCTTCACAACGTGAATGCCACTGCTGAGCGAGGCTGACCTCATGAAGGCTGAATACTGTTGCCCAGGGCTGCCTGTGGCAGAAGGAGCTGTGCTGCTCCATGCAGACCAGCTTCAATGTTCAGACTCTGCAAGCATGTCCCCATGACACTCCTTTACCTAGAGGTGTCACCTCTCCCACAGGACACGTGGCAGCTGCTGTGGACCAGGATGGTCAACAGCATCTTGGCTACTTGATGTGGAGTTCTCTTAACCTGCATGTGGGACTGGAGCAGCTGTTTGGGATAGAGGGTGAACGCAGTACCCAACTGGGATCTTCTCTGAGGGATCCCATCTAAATGCTGTGGCTGACAGTGCCCTTCCAGCACCTCTGAGCACAGATCCAAAGCTGCCTGCTCTGCCTGGGACATAATCTCACTCTCCAGCAGGACCTGGGGCTGCAGTCTCCAGGGTCTTGCTGTCACCTCCACAAGCTTCAGGAGCACCAGAAGCAAGCAGCGCCTCGAGTGGAGCATCACTTATTTGGAGCAGGTGTGTTCCAGAGCAGACACCAATGCAGCAAGGAGCCTACTCACTGCCTCGAAAGCATGGGGCAGACCCAAAGCCATGAGTTTACTCCTCCCACGTGTTTGCTCAGAGGCTACCTTGGACTTTGATGTTCCCTGCCTGGAAGAGCTGGCTTACAACACACGGGCAGAGCGAGCGGTGCCACATCTCATCACCCACCCCACCTGGGACGCGGGGGCAGCCCCCGCACTTACTCCTGCAGCAAGTCCTGTATTCCCAGCAAGACCCCTCTGTGAGCAGCCACTCCCAGGGATGTGCCTGCAGGTCTCTGAAAGGCAGGTGGGCTCCCACCTCTGCTGGCCACCGGGGCAGTGCGGGCCTCTTCTGCCCCACTCAGAGGGCTGCTAGCCCCAGGCGAGGGGATGAGCATGGCCACCTGCACCCAGCACTGCTGCTGGGCCAACAGAGCTGCAAGGGCACTCAGCAGGATGCTCTGCTGTCTCCCCCAGGATCCCACCTCTGGCAATGTGCCCCTTGCCCCCAGCTTGGCTGAGACACTTCAGCGCGCAGCCAGGCCAGCGCTGCCTGCTGCCATCACTCAGACTCTGGGTAGGGACCTGCCTAAAACCCACGCTGAGAAACTGCCAGGATGCGTATTTTTTAAGTGCCAAGATGGGAAACCACTGTACTTCATCCTGCTTCAATCAATAACACCAGGAGCATTATTTTTTTTGCTACTGAAAGTTTGCTACTGAAGGGTTCCCGTCAGCCCAAAGAGCTTACTCCTGTCCCCAGAAACAGGACTTTGATGCACAGGGAGCTGTGGTTTTGTGGGGTTTTTTAAGACTGCATGGCCTGAAAAATCATAAGGTGATTTTTTTTTTTTCCCTTTAAGACATTCTAACTCCTCAGTGGTTGGGAACTGATAAACTGAACAATACGAAACATAGCTTTGCATGGGAACAGCGAGCTGCAGCTGTTTCCTACCATCAAAGAGAGGTTCAGCTCCAGCTGAAGAATGAAGCAGATGCCAAATTTAATGGTGCCTGTGCCATTTTGTTCTCCAAAGTCACCTAAAGAAGCCCCAGCCATGTGACCAGCAGTGGCAAGCTGGGGTCACTAGCAAACCAGATTTGTGGCAAAGAGCTCCCAGGAGGTTTGTGCACCCCCAGCTTTCTGCCCATGCCTTCCTCCAGTGAGAAGATGCCAAGATGATGCTGAGCGTGTGGCACAGCACTGCCCCATGCCTGGCACCACAGCTGAGTGAACACTGGGGCATCTTGTGCCAACACTTCGATGCCCTTGGTTAGTCTCCCAGGATGTGATGCAGACTGACCTTTGACCAGTGGAGCCCCATAATGAGGACACTTGTGTCCCACGGCGTGGAACTCGCCGCTCTCCTTGATGAGCAGAGCCTTCCCGCAGCCCAGGTCCACTTCCCGCATCCTGGGGAGGAGGAGCACGGAAAACACATGGCAGAACATCTGCCTGGCAGGGAATGCCACCCCCTCACCCTGCACCCCAGCCCTGGTCCCACCAGGCTTCCGCCCTCCTTCAGCTTGCTCACCACCAGCTCCAGGTGACTTACAGATGTGGGTCACTCCTGTCACCAAGCTGGCTTTGGAGGTGGCTCTGCTGGTCCTAGCCTGGGGCACATCCAAGCATTGTGTGGCAGCTCCTTCATCCATCACTGTGCGAAGAGATGACCTAAAGCACCTCGCCAGCTGCTCAGGAAGCAGCTAGTCGTCTCCACCTGAGTCCAGGGACTCAGAATAAAGCTTTTCAGCATGCAGTGGGAGCAAGAAGCCAAACTGGTTCAACTGCGACATCACCTCCCCTCCTGGCCCCAGCAGCAAACACAGCATTTCTGAGACTCGAATACCAGGAGAGGTGATTCTGACCCTTTGTGTACTCCAGCCTTGGGGTCTGCCTCACTGCGCCCCAAGGGGTCATGCTTTGGCCCTGGCTACATCCCAGGGTCAACAACATGGGTCATCTTTGCCTGATAAAACCCTCAGGACAGCAGATACCTATGTGTGACCTCCTTGCTGTTTCCCTCAGCTGTTTTCACAGAGCAAAGCTCACACAGTGACCTTCCCACCTGCTCGGGGCTGGTGGCCCCAGCTCTGTGCCACCAAGGTCCCTCCTGCTGCTAGACTCAGCCTCATGTTTGCACAGGAGCCAACTCAACCCTCAAGCCATTCTCTGGGGAGATTCAGGTGCTCTTTGAAAGACCGCAGTTGCTGGTGTGGTACCCTGGACAAAAGAGTGATTAGCAGAGCAGGAATCCTTTATACACAAAGCTTTGCCATTTTTCAGCTCTCTGGGTCACACCTCCCCAGCTGCAGCCACCTGGTCCTTGACCGGGCCAGGCTGAGGCTCCAGTCACCCCTGCCCTGGCCAAAAGCATCTCTTTGCCCATCATGCATCTTATCTGCAAAGACAGAAAGAGCAACTGAGCATCCCCATCTGCTGGATGAGTGATTAATGATGCCATTAGTGCTGGAAAGCAGCATTTTAGAAAACCCTTTCTAACTCCCTTGGCTTGTCCAAGAGCTGACCGGCAGCACCCCCGGTTCAGCAGAGCCATGCTGAGTGATGCCCACCTCTGCATCAGCCACAGCCTGGGTGCAGCATCCCCCATCAGTGGTGCATTGGCCCACAGCAGCTGGTCCCCCAGGGACTGGCATCTCCTCCCCAGTGGCCAGTGGCACTCAGCTGGCCGTGCCATGTTGCTCGGTGTGCTTCAGGCTGGCCGAGCATGAGTTTTGCAAAGTAGCTGCAACATGTGATTTTATTTGCAATTTTCCAAGCCCTGCAGACCATATACTGAACTGGGCTGCATTTAGGCAGTTGCATCCCATAGTATCCTCCTGGAGAAACTGGCTGCCCATGGCTTGGATTGGAGGACTCTCCACTGGGTTAAAAACTGACTGAAGACTGGGCCCAGAGAGTGGTGGGGAATGGAGTTAAATCCAGTTGGTGGCCAGTCATGAGTGGTGTCCCACAGGGCTGGGTACTGGGACCCGTTCTCTTTAACATCTTCAATGATCTGGATGAGGGGATAGAGTGTACCCTCAGTAAGTTCACAGATGACACCAAGCTGGGTGGGAATGTCAACCTGCTGGAGGGTAGAGAGGCTTTGCAGAGGGATCTAGACAGGCTGGATGGATGGGCTGAGGCCAATGGGATGAGGTTCAACAAGGCCAAGTGCCAGGTCCTGCACTTGGGTCACACCAACCCCCTGCAGTGCTACAGGCCTGGGGAAGAATGGCCTGGGGGTGTTGGCCAACTGTCAGCTGAACATGAGCCAGCAGTGTGCCCAGGTGGCCAAGAAGGCCAACAGCATCCTGGCCTGTGTCAGGAACAGTGTGGGGAGTAGGACCTGAGAGGTGATCGTCCCCCTGTACTCAGCACTGGTGAGGCCCCACCTTGAGTACTGTGTCCAGTTTTGGGCCCCTCACTACAAAAAAGACATTGAGGTGCTGGAGCGGGTCCAGAGAAGGGCAACAAAGATGGTGAGGGGTCTGGAGAATAAGTTTTATGAGGAGAGGCTGAGGGAGCTGGGGGTGTTCATCCTGGAGAAAAGGAGGCTGAGGGGAGACCTTCTCGCTCTCTACAACTCTCTGAAGGAAGGCTGTAGTCAGGGAGTTTGGTCTCTTCTCCCAAGTCACAGGTGACGGGATAAGTGGAAACGGCCAGGAGACATTCAGATTGGATATTAGGAACAATTTTTACACAGAAAGGGTTATTAAGCCTTGGAATGGGCTGCCCAGGGAGGCGGTTCAGGCACTATCCCTGGAGGTATTTAAAAGACGGGTTGACATAGTACTTAGAGACATGGTTTAGTGATGTGGGTGTGTTTTTGTTTTTTGTTGGTGTTTTTTTTTATTAGAGTTAGGTTGATGGTTGGATTAGATGATCTTAAAGGCCCCTTCCAACCTAGACAATTCTATGATTCTGTGATTATGCTGGGCAGTTGAACTATCTGCTGAAATAGGAGTCTTTCAACCATTCATCATTTCCAGGAGGCTGCAAGACTTGGGTACAGGAGGCTCCAGCACTGAGACCCCCACTCCTCATCCTGCCCAGATCTTTGTCAACAGGATTTCTGCAGCTTTCCAGCCACAGCTGGCACTGCCCAAGCTCCATTGTGTGAGACTGATGTTGCTCTGCACTGAGCAGAGCTTTACTCTCTGCTCTCTTACTATGTCTCCACCAGGTCTTCATCCCAATATGTCCTGTGCCCTTTCTCTTCTCACCACTCAGGTGCTCCCTTTCCACCCAACAGCCCTGACACAACCTGTGCAATCCATGGCCCTGTGGAAGGCACTGAACCTCTTCCCAATGCAATTATCAGCAGCTGCTTCCCCACAGCACAGCCTCCCAGCCCACCACAGAGGAAAGCAGAGAGATGAGGAGCGAGCCCTCATTTTGCAGGGAGCTGGGCACAGAGTGCAGAGCTGCTGTTCCCTGGAAACATCCCCTCTTCCAGCCAGAAAGACTGTCCCTGCACAACTCAATGTTTACCAGGAAATCCTGGTTGTTCCCACTGCACAAAGTGGACATTCTCTACAGCAAGCCTGGCACGTTGCATTTGGTGTACCAAATACACCACTGTGCACCCAGCAAACCCCATGTGCTCAAGAAAGCTACTGGCATGTGTGATCCCTCAATGCTGTTCATGCATGATAGGTCCTAGCATCTCAGAAGAATGGGACTCACTTTGCATGTTTCTTTCTCTTTGGGTAACATCCCAGCTCTATCCCGTCACTTGCACCCAACCTACAGAGACACTTGTCCCACTCTGTTTCACAGCCGTGGAGATGAGACCAGGGCTCAGTCCACCAGCACTCTTGTAACACCTTTAGACCCACCTTGGACAAGTCTTTGTCCAGGTGCCTGCTCCACCTGCATCAACTGTCCCACTAGATTAAAGACAAATGCTCAATTTCCTTGCCATCTCAGGCAAAAACAGCAGCAGACCTCGTCATGCCTGCCCTTGAGAGCCATTTTGTCCCAGTAAATTGGCAGCCCTGCTCCCGGGTGTTGCAGCTTTGCTCCCTCCCCATGTTGGACACTTGGACGTCCTTCCATTAGTACAAGGAGAATACAACAGTACAAGTCCTACTGCATTCCTCAGCTGTGCAGATAAAACCTTCAGTTAAATGATAACCATAACTCTATGGGAAGATAAGATATGCGAAAGAGTTTACAACTTAACCAAGGAACTACGTGATCTGAGAGACTCAAAAACAGGACCTGGTGTCTTCAAGGCAGCACACAGCCACCTGCAAGGCTCCTGATCCCACACTCACTCCAGAGTGAGCAAGAGGATGATTTACTGCTCCCTGCTGAGCTATTTATTCTGTTGGGAATTTGTCCTGTTTCCCCACTCCTCTCCCCACTTGGGAAGCACCAGCTAAAACTCAGCTTTGGCCTGCAAAGGACCTTTGCTCGAGAGTCAAGGGAGCACTGGGGACTGTTTTCTGTCTGCAGCTCATTGACCTCCCCCAGTTAGCCTTATGGGAGGCTCGCTGGGTACAGCAGCAGAGTTTATCCTCCAGTAGCTTTTACTGACTCTCTTGAGACCATCTTGGTACCAGAAAGATAGAAAGCATGAGCAGAAAGAATAGCCTGTCCTTGCAGACTTTACTAACACAAGGTAGAGGTGCCCGGACCCTTGTGTCAGTGCCCCGCACTGTGCTCATGCACAGCCCTTCCCAGCACGCTCCTTGGGAGCAGCATCCCAGAAAACCTCGCAGGGTATCAGAGCAAGAAGAGAGTCCTTTGGTCTGGCCCGTTGCTGTGGGACCTTCTTGCAGCACTTCTCTTTTGAGCTAGAAAAAAAAAAAACTATTCTCAACTTAAAATGTGCAGGGATAGCAAGTCTACCCCCCTGCCTGGTAGTGCGTTTCAGTAGCTGAATGCATACACGGTTGAAGTGTGAGCCCAGCTTCCAGCCCGATGCTAGTTTCTAGCCCTGGCTTTAGCTGAGGAGCTCCCCGTTACAGCCGCCTGCAGCCAGGCGCCCCCCCCTCACCTTCCCCATGACTGGCACAGTCTCACCTACAGTACTCCATGTTTTCCAGCCAACATATCTGTTGCAGCCCTATTTTTCCAATGTTGTTCTTGCCCTGGGACACTAAAGCAGAGCACGCATTTTTTAGTAACACCCCAAGCACGAAGTTGGCAGAAGCTGCCTCCATGGACCCTTGGTGCTCAGCCATTAGGCTATGTCTTGACACTGGAATAAAGCTCTCCTTGTGCAACCGGTATTTCCCAGGACAGTCTCCCCGTTTTCCTTCGCTCCAGCTTCAAGACAATCCCGGTCACTGCCTGTGCTCTGCCCCAGGTCCCCTCGTCCCCAGCCTGGCTGTTCCTGCTCACCTACACAGGCAGTGGTGGGTGGCCCATCACTGCCCAGAAGCAGCTCTGCAGCCACTGCACTTGCGTTCCAGTCCTGTGCATCTCTCCCAACTCCTCACCCCCACCTCTCGCTGGAGGAGGTGCCTGCAGATCCTCCAGCACCCCTCTGAGCTCCAGCAGAGCTTGCAGAGCCAGCCATACCTCATCATGTGAAGATTTAATCCAACAGAGTCCAGTGCATCCCTCTGTAGAACAGCCTAATAAGTAAAATCCCACCACAATGAAAAAACCAGTTTATTCCTGGATGAACTTACCTAATGAGAAGAATTTAAAGCCCATGAAGCCCCTTAAGTTTAGCACAAAGTACTTTAGAATATTATCACAAGCAATAGTTCAGTTTAAAGTAAAGTTTAAAGCTGCTAGACTCCTGCTGTGTCCCACACACCTGACATCATTCCCTCACTAGAATAAAAGCTATTTCAAACTACAATTTCTTTCACAGAACGACAGAGCCCGCTGAGATGTTGGCCACAAACAGAACATGCTGCAGAAAGGGCTTATCTACCCTAGCAGAGAAACACCAGCCTGTAAAGCATGGTGTCCAGGACAGGCACCTTTTGTACTTCAGAAAAATCTTAAATCAGGTCAGTGAAACTGTACACAGCTGAAGTGTGTTGCTATTAGCAAAAGATTTGGAAAACTGCATCTTTGATGAAACTGCAAATTGAAAGAGATGAGCTCAGCCAGAAGAGCAAGGCACTGCAGAAGTGATGGAGCACACAATCTGCCCCACCAGCTCCACCCATGCTACTCACACTGCTTTGTGAAACTACTAAGGCTATAAATTTGTTAACATAAGCTGAGCAGATCCTGTTGAGAAATTTTGCTACAGAACATCACAGCTTTTTAAAACAAGTCCCAGGGTGGACCTTGCAGGGAAGAGCAGACCTTCTGGGAAAAAAAAACAGTAGTCACTTGTATGTGATGTAATTTTTTAAGATGAAATCAAAAATATTATTTTACTAAGTTAAATTATCACTTCCAGAAACTCTAAAGAAGAAGACAGGGGGGTTGGTTTGGGTTATAAGATTTCTCAAGTTTTACCTGCAAAAATTTTAGGCACTTACTGTCCATTCTCCAGGTCCTTCACGTGGCACACAGATGCCTCCACCACATCCTTTGGGTTGTGGTAGGGGTTGCTGGCAATGGGATGCTCCTCCAGGTGATAATGCCGGGCAGTCCCGTTGACTTTGTAGATCAGGGGGCTGGCTTTCCCGTTGGGTGACATCTCTTCCTTGCTTCTCTCCTTCTCAGGTATCACAACTTCAATTTTCACTTCAACTGCAGAAACAAATAGAAATCTTCACAAAAATGAAGCCAGGGGTTCTGCTGCCATTCTGCCTCTCCCTCCTTCCCTGGACTCCAAAAGGGGCTGACAGACATCAGAACAGACATTTTTTTGTTGGCTTGCTTGAGAAGATAAAGCATTTAATATCAAACTCAGCTTGATTACCCAAGCCCATTATTCCACTGATCTTTCTCAACTGGGCACCTCTGCATGCATAAAATACGTATCCTTGCAAGCAGGCATCAGTCATGGGTGCAAAACAACTCCTCAGTCACAGTTCCTGTCCTGTTTAGTGGAAAACAGCTTCAGGCAGCTAGATGTGAGGCATGCCAAGGCCTCTGGGGCTCAGACAGACTTCAAAAAAGCCCTTTAATTGTTTGTAGATAACATTAACTGAAAGAGAAAGCCAACACTGCACAGTGCATAAAGCTGCTTCATTAGACGGAGACCAGTTAATAAGGAACTAGAAATATACAAAATTATTTCTGCATGAGGTTTTCAGCGTAGAGTGAACCTTGAGCATTAAGTGAGAAAAGCAAGGATTGTCCGTTCCACTGAGGCATACACCATTGAACAGGGTTTGACACTAAAAGCATCCCTGGCCTGGGGAAACAGCACAGCACATCCCTCCCACCATCAGAGGGGACACCAGAGCCTGCAGGTCCCCTCGTCCCATCGCCACCCTGGGTGCTACCACGGGCAGTGATGGAGCAAGGCAGCCCTGGCAGGCCCCTTGTGCCTCGGCTGGGACCTGCTGCCGGCGCTGCCCTCCCCACGCAGGGATGGAGGGGGAGCAGTGGGGCTGGAGGTGGCCCTCCTCAGCCACCCAGGTGAAGACATGCCAAGCTCCATCCAGCCTCGCCGTGCACCCACCCGCTGCCCCATGCCCAGGGAAACAGGATGGAGGCAGGAACATCAGAGGAAGCTGGTGATGAGCTCTCACATCATAAAGTGAAATATATCCCTTTAGCTCCTAGGGACTTCATAAAACTAAAGCCATTAATATTTATAATAAACCCCAGGGGAGTTCTATAGCGAGCCAGGGGTAAAGGCCAGAGACTGAAGAAGTGTCTCAAGCAACCGGGAGATTGTTGAGCTCTCCCTGTCTTATAAATGTCATAAACAGGAAAAGATGTAGAAGATAAAAATTAAAGCTCACAACCTAACAAGTTTAGGAAAGACAAAGAGAGGGGAACAATGTGCCCCAGAAGAGAGAGACCAGCCCTGCAGCAAGAGAAGGGAGCTGGGTCTTCCCAGCTTCATCAGTTGCTCCAGACCATTTATTGTAATCCCATTGAGAGGACAGTGGCAGAAAAGCTCAGGGTGAAGGTCATTCACTTAGGAAAGGAGAAAAGCAAGTGGCCATGGCTGCCCAGGCACCAAAGGCAGGCAGTTGTTTCGAGCCCTACAAGTTTCTGCTTTTTGTGCCAGCTCAGCAGGGCAGGGGATGGGGTGTTTTTTTGCCAAAGTGCCAAATCCTGGCACTTGCCAGGGGCAGAATTCACTGAGGGCACTGAAAGATAGGTCCCGTCAAGCAATTTTCTGTGTATTCATGCTGAACCGGCAGAAAATGTGAATTTCTGTTGCATTACTGCAGCTGCTAGCTCAGGGGCTATTGCAAACTAATAGGCCCAGCACCATGCATTTAAAAAAAATTGTCTTATGACCAAATTTGTTCCTGGAGCTCTACAGAAGCAGCCCAGCTCCCTGCAGGTACCCAGCAAAGAAGCCACTTGCCCTAAGCACTGTTTTGCTATCACATTTGGAAAAGCAGACACAGATTTTCCAGGATAAAGTTAGGAAATCTAACAAACATTATTTCTACCAATGGATCAAACATTTATCTGGAGTGAAGGTGGCTGTTCAGCCTTGCAGCCAGACACCGGAGCCAGGTAGCATGACGCTGCTGCTGCCGACCATGGCACAGGACGGGACGGACCGGCACTGGCAAAGCGGGCAGCTCCGAGCCCTTACGATGGTGTTGATGCCATTCCCCCATCTCTCCCTTGGCCCGATGCCCCAGAGCTTTGTTTTCCAAACTACATTTGGGTCAGGTGAGCACCTGGAGTGCTCACTGATCCTCGAGCATATGAACCTGAGGGGATGAAGGCAGAAATTTAGCTCTGAGCTCTTCACTTCTCTCCCAGTCAGAAAAACATATGCAAAAGCAGCAGGTCACTGGCACCAGTACGTGACGGTGCTCCCAGCTGTCCCCACTCAGCACTCACCGACACTGCTGGGCAAATGTCCAGAGCAAAAGAAAAGGGGGTACAAAGTCTTTCCCTCTCTTATTTCAGCCCCCACACTTCACCACTTGCCTCTCCGGGGAACAATTCCCACTTGCCTCTCCCTGACACTTTATCCCCCCTTTTTTCCCTCCTCCTCCTCCTTGTCACCCGTGGCCCCATGCGGCGTGTCCCTCTGGCCAGAGACCTGCATTCCTGAGGGATGATCCCTCCAGGAATCCAGGGCTCAGTGGCACCTGAGCTGATCCTGCAAACTGCTTCAATTGCCATCAGGGAAAATGACATTTAAATGAAATATTTATAAATCCAAGTTTAATTCTGAAATCCGATTGGCATGGTGTGGCTGGGTCCAGTGTGCTCCCTCCCTTTGACAATCATTTTCTATAACTGCTGGAAGAAGTTCCTGACCTTAAAGCAAATGGTTTGGAAAGTTTTAGGCACATGCCTACAAATCTGTGCCGTGGCCCCCGCTCCTTGGGGACGGGCCGAAGCCACCACTGTCACACAGCAGTTCTGTCCTGGCCACACTGGTGGGGACAAGGGTGACAGCTGTAGTTTCCAGGGCAGAGCAACTGCTGCTCCCCAAACATGTATATATATATGCATCTAGAGATACAGATGTAGATACGCTGCTTGCCCTGTGCCACCAGCACCACTTATATACATGGGTGTGTATGTGGGTTTGTGTCTTCATGTACATTTGTAATATATATGTATTTTTTATCTCCCTCTGTATCCACACACAGATCTATATGAAGGACCAGGAGGCCAGGGATGAAAGCATTTCATAAGAATATATCAAAAAACCAGACAAACCAGTTGAGCCTTAGCAAGTGCTAATACCATACATCCACATCACCTCAGCACTTCCAGCTTTTAGTATTCAAAAGTCTGGAGTTAGCTCCCCAAAATCATAGAATTGCTTAAAATGTGGACTCTTGCCAAGACTATACATTTTGACCCTTTTATTTTTTCTCCCAGGTTTTCAGCCTCCAGGTCAAAGCATTGCTGGGACCCCTATGCACACGCCCAGGAACTGTGTCCCAACCCCATTCATCATGGTTGGCTCAGGGTTTTTTTTTCCCCACACTGTGGACACAATGCTCTTATGCTTTGCCTCATGCCATTAACACCTACCACTCAGTCATTCATACCCCATTACACCTCCTGTAATTTTTTTCATAGCCCAACACATCCCCCATAGATTCTTCTCCATCACTATTCACAGCCTTGTGGGAAAAGTCCAAGCCTCTGCCTGCTTTTAGGCAGGCGCCTGGACACAAGGCTGGAGATGTTGGCATCGACACTTGGGCAGAGTGGAGGTGCACCAGGTGGAGGGTGTCTGAGCTGCAGTGCAGGGCCACAGTCATTATTTTAAAAAATTAGGGTAATTAAATGACCCAAGACTTCTTTACCACAGGATTAGGTTCCCAGTGTGGCTCAGTGCCCTTCTAGAGGCTAAATTTAAACTACAGGTACGCGGCCATTTAAAGATACATATTTAAAATGGTAGAAATAATGAAAATACTAAGTTAATACTGCAGCGCAGCGGAAAGAGATAACTGGCCTGAGCCAAGAGCTGGCTTGAATCTGGGAGAGTCCGGGTAACTGAAGATGCCATAGGGGATGGAGGAGCCGGGCTGGCGGAGGGGAGAGCCACGTGTCCTCCTTTCCCAGCCACAGACCCCTGCGACGCCTCAGGGTTTGCTGCTCGGGGGCTGCAGCACAGGGCAAACGAGCTCTGCGGGCAGGGAGCAGCCTTGTACTGGCCACAGTGTGCCACCAGCTCAGACAGCAGTGGCAGCCAGGAAAGCACCAAGGGTGGTGATGACGGAGAGACCAGCAGGGCACAGTAGGCACGGCCAGAAAGCCCAGTTTACCCCAGCAGGGTTTGTTTTCCCACAGCCAGCACCGAGTAAATCCACCGCTGTGGGACACATTTGGGTCTCACTGCCCTCCGGAGCTGTGCTCTGATGGCATCCCCAGGCTGGTCCGCGCTGCCTCTGCACTGCAAACCTTGGGGACAGCTACTCTAGGTGGTCCCAAAGAGATTCCAAACCATTTCTATTAAAAATGACAGAGCTAACAACAAAACCGCCATGTCAAACATGCCCAGCTGTACCCTCCCTCTCCAGACTCCCCGCTCAGCAAATGCCACGCTCCTAAAAACCAGGAGGTCGGACTTGCCAGCCAAGCCTGGGGGCACCCTCAGGGCCAAGCCCAGGAGGACACACGGCCCATGGGAGCCCCCCAGCAACACCCTTGCCAAGGGAACACATTCCCTGCTCAGAGACAAATGCAACCCCTGTGCGAGGGCAATGCTCACCACAGACACGCCGTGCTGCGCCGGAGCTGCTGCCCTGCCCCACCATCACACACGGAGCCCAGCGGAGAGCACAAAGAAAAATAATCACAACTTTATAGGTTTTGCAAGCTGTTCTCCCAGGCCTGGTGCAGAGACACTGCTGCTGCAGCTCCCACCGAGCACGGTGGTTCCCTTCACCCATCGTCCTGACCTGGCTGCTGCTCCCGAGCAGCGCTGGGATCCCATGCAGGCTGCCAGCTGGCAGCTCATCGCCTCTGCATCACCCACCCTGAGCAAAACCAGAGAAAAAAAATTATGCAGAGATTGAGAACTGGGCCTTCAGAAGAGGAGCCGGCATCACGGGATTGCAGCACTAGAGATAACAGAAGATTACTTCACTGCTTGAATATAAGCTCTTAATTAAACACTTAAATATCAGGATGGGATCGGGCACTGCAGCAGCAGTCAGGCTTCAGGGCTGGCCTCTGGTACAGCCAGCATAATTATTTACTGTTGCAGGACTCCACTCCCCAAAGCTCTTGTACCAGGGATCTGCTCATCAAAAGGTCTTCCTGGCACACAGCAACGTGTGTGCAACTTTAAGGTCATCTCGAGAAAAGCCAAGTGTGCTCAGGGGGACTGAGGGTCTCTCTTGGATACAAGAAGATGGAGCAGATAAGGACTTCGTATACATCTTTCAAAAGTGTCTAAATAAATTCTGCTAACATCAGGCTGCATCTGAAATATTCCCTCCATGTCAAAACAGCACTTATGGGGAAAATAGCTCTGTTCTGTCCTTCCATTATTTGCTTCTCATTCATACAGGGGATAGGCGAATTTTTAGAAATAGGCAAGTCCACTACTCAGTTCTGATGGTTCCCAGCTCCTGCAAGAAACAGGAATGACAAATACCATAAAAAGGCTGTGAAACCTTTTTGCCTGAACAATCAGTATTTGCAAATGTTTACCTCACTGCATTTGCAGGTTTTATAATCACCGAGATGGAGCATTGCAGTCAGTGTGTGCTAACAAGGGGCTGGGGAAAGGCTTGTTAAAAGCCTTTGAAGACTGCTAATCAAAACCAGAGCTGCAGAGCGCTGTGCATTAGAGGATGGCATTTTCAGTCATTTGGCCCTGCTATGCAAATGCAGCTCTACATGAAAATCTGCAGCTCAGGAAATACGCCTGCAGAGTGCTTTTATTCCTGCACCAGTCCAAGATTAAACACAATTTTGCTGATGGTATACAAAATAAAGTGGAACTGCCAGCAGAGTTTGTCACAAGTTTAGTCAACAAAGGCATTTATTCCTGGATGTGTTTTCACTCCTTGAACATTTCAGGGAAGGATATAAACAGCGTGGGTTTTCATGGAAGAAAACTTACTGTTCCCAGTGTCCAAAGCCACACTGCAATGGCCCATAAAATAACCACAGTACAGGTCAAGGCCAGAAAACCACCTTTATTTTCTGCTGTGCCTTGCAAAGCAAAGGCAGAGGACCTCACTCAGTGGATGCTCAGTAGGTTGCAGACAGGACTTGTATCTCCGCTTTGACCTTCCTGAGTCCTTCAAACCTGAAATCCCCACTGCCTGAGGTAGTGAAGACAAATTGCCAATAAAAGGTCCCCAAAATACATTTTTCCACCCACAAAGGCTAAGTGTGGATGCTGACTGATCTCACAAATCCACACAGCTATCTGACTCCCCTTGCCCTTGGGCACTAGCAGGCAGCAAGGACAGGGTCCTCCTTTAGCTCCCTCTTAGCTGACCAAAGCGAGATGCAGGATGGGAGCTCCTCTCGAAGGCACCTTCAGCAACGTTGATGGCACCAGCCCCCCATGCACCAGCATCAGTCCCTGGGCAACCACACTCAGGACCAAGGCTTAACATTGACACTTCCACGCCAGATGTCCCTCGACCTGTTTGCCTGCACCTCAGCCCCCTCCTCTCCTACGTACACCTACCTTCACCAAACCACAAAGACCCATGCAGGCCAGCTGCAGCAGGAGCGTGCAGGGCAAGGGGAACATCCTTGATACCCAGCTGCTTACAGCTGCTTTCCCCACCAGAAGCGGCACACACAGACAAGCTTCACCAAGAAAATGAAATCCAGAGAGTGGAGCGGCCCAAGGACCTGGCCTGGGTGGTGGGACTGAGAAAGCACCAAGAAATCAAGCAGTAGGTTCTCCTGCTCCTTCCCTGGTTATTCCCTCCCAGCAAGGACAAAACGAAGGGCTGGACAGTAAGTGGCAAAGCTGGGGTAGCAAGGAAGGTGCTGGAGCCACACGTTGGTATGGGGATGGTGTCACCCAAAAACCCACCCTGGGGCACAAGGGTCAGTCCAGCCCCCTGAACTGCAGGAAGGCAGAGGTGGGGGGGCAGGAGGACTTGGGACAGGGAAGAGCTGGCAGTGGGTCTTTGGATGGGGTCACAGGGTGGGGGTTGAGATCTCCTCCCACCCACCCAGCCAGCCCCCCC